TTTGAGAGTGACAATCGACAAGGGAAGCTTCACGTGCTGCGGTTGCCTCAGGCTGGTGACGAAACAGATGCTTTGCAGTGTTAAGGACAGCCACAGCGGCTCGCATTCCGAAGTCGTAATGGCTTCGCCGTGCAAGCTGCTCTGATGCAAGCTGGAGGCATGTAACCATCTGCATTAGGCGTGTGCACCGACAAGAAGCGCTGTGGATTTGAACTTTACAGTGTCTTGGTTGTTTGAACAAGGGCCAATCAGGTATATTTGCGAGTTCCCCTGTGAAGCGAGGTGGGTACGTATGGATATGCTGCCTGACTTACGATTATATCAAGACGTTTGCTCACCTTTTTTGAGAGCTTGCAGGCATCTTGAAAGCCGCTGCAGTAAAGAACGACTTCAGCGATTAAGGCGGCATCAGGGACCATCATAGCGCAGGGTCGGAACAGGGCCTAATGCAAATGAAACGATACAAAGCTGTATTTAAGTATTTACACGCCAAGCTCCATGTTGAATTGTTTCAGGATGACAAGATTTGCTAGTTCAAGGGGAAGATTCACCAAAACAAAGGCAACACACTTTGACTTATTGAAAGGGAACTTTCGCATGAGGGCAAAATCAGCAGCCGTGAACTGATCTATTGCAGAGGTAAGCAATGCAGATCATCCCATCTAAGCACTGTGCTGCATCGCACTGTTCTGGGGTGTAAAATACAGCCAACCTTTAGGGTATCAGGCAACGTTGCGCGTCCAGCATATCCAGGGTTCATCGTGATGTTAATAGCGCAGGTTGGGTTAAGTTGGAGATCTGTATCTTCAAAGACAAACGTTATGGCATTCCTTCTGATCGCTTGTTGAATTGCGGAAATTTGCAGTGCAACGATGGACAGGACATCAAGTTGCAGCCTGTTGAACTCGTCAAAGCAACACCAGCCACCGCTTGCTGCGATTCCCTTCAGCAAGGCAGCCATCGCCGTAGCATCTAGGCCCTCGCTACAATTAAAAACAAGGCATGGCTTTCCTGCAGCCTTTGCGAGGTCTTTAGTTGTCTCTGTCTTTCCTGTTCCTGCTGGTCCTTCGGGAGCTCCACCATACTGGAAATGCAGGGCTGTCATGAGAGTGCGGTAGCACCGATCTGTTAGCGGCGTTACTACTAGACGGTCAGGACTACGCAGCAATTCGAAGCCATAGTTCAGGGAGCTCTCTAACATACAAATCTGTAGGCCGCCGCTGGTCCCTCGGCCTCCAGTTCTATTCAGCCGTCTCCCGCCGACAAAATAACCACCAGGCACAGCTCCTCCGCCTAAATGGTGTGAACCAGGGGTCCAGTAACTTCGAAGGTGGCAAATCCATTCAAACTGATTCATATGACTGGTCTTCTTCTGTCTCAGCTCCTCGGCTACATCGCGGCAGTGCACGTCCAGTGTCAACAAAGTTGCAAGCACCGAACGACTGTCAGGGCTTAGAGGTCCTCTGACCGCCTCAACTAGCTAAGAAGCACGCAGGTAAATGCAGATAAGCACATCTATATGTGGACTTGAAAGAACCAACGCAGCCCGTGCAAAGCTGGTTTGAAGGGACAGTAGGCAAACCTGTTGCAGCTGGTGTTGCAGGTCCTTCACAAGTTGCGGCAACTGGTGCTGCAGTATTGCTGCCTCCACCTGCGCGGTCCAGCAACAATGTGCTATGGCCAGTGCAGCCTGGGCGCATGCACACCGTTCTGTAGCCCACAGCAACCGAGTTGGAGCTGCAGGAAATTCTTCCCAGGCTCTCTGCATGGCGTGTTGAAGCGCCGCGCACATTTCGCGTTCGATCTGTAGAAATACCACACACTGGAATGGCTTTTCCCTTTGATCATGACTGCTAGTACATGAGAAACAGTGGAAGCTGCAAGCTCTTGGTTCATCATTAATGCATCTGTAACTTTGCGACTTGACTAAAAAGCCACGCAAATTTGCGGTGTTTTTCAGTAATATGTTTCGTTGCAGGCATAACGTTCCAGCGTGCAAAAGGTATTGACAGCATCAACGAGCTGAGTGTTATTTGACTTCGGTGTGTGCGGCCTACAGAGGAGAAAACGTCTTCGATACTGATCGATTTTCCGTCATGCGCCAGTTGAACTGGCGTTAGAAGTTGAAGGGCTTCCTGCCTGTGGGATAGAATGATATTGGCCTCATTCGAGTCCTGGTCATACTTCATTGAGGAAATACCCTCGAAGCACTTTTGAATATGAGGACCAAGGGCTTCAGCGTGACTGGCACCAGACAGCAACTGTACAAGCTCCTCGTTTGACAAAAAGAAAAAACGAGGGAAGGCCAGCCGTTTTCTTTCTAAAAATTCATTCAAGCCCTTCACAACTGATTGCATCTCGATGCAAGCAGAACGCAGTTTTTGAGGCAGCTCTTCGAGGTCGACCAGATCCAGCAAGCTCGAATTCTCGTCTAGTCGAGAGATGACTTCATCCTTCCATAGTTTGCCCACAGAGCTAAGTAGGTCAGCTTCCTTTGCTAGTTGCTGCTGCATTTCCGGGTAATCGAAGATGGGTACCAAGTACACCCACGAGACCTGGCAGGCCTCCAAAAGATTGCATAGAGTATCAAGATCACTTAGCTTTCGCAACCATTCGCGTGCCTGCAGCTCTACTCCACCCACCAGCTGCGAAGCCTGCAAACTTTGCACACTTGCTTGATGCTCCTCGATCAGAGAGTGTACAGCGTCAAAGCCTTTGAGCATTTTTCTGCCCAAGGACGCATCTCCAAGGGTTACCAGATCCATTCGGAGAGCCCGCCACGCCCCTCTCATCTTCTGGAAGCACGCTTTGGTGCGGAACTCTCGGAAGGCGGCAGAGCCAATAAGCTCAATTGCTTGCGTAGCTTCCGGCAAGCCTCTCTGAATTAGTGTGTTGAGTGACAAGAACACACCACCCTCTTCCGTAGCGTCAACCTCCAGCCTTGTTGCAAGTTCCTGCCAGTGCTTTGCTTGGAATGATGGGTGCGTCAGCGTTTTCATTAAGGGCAACATCTTTTGGAAGGCCGCAATAGCCTGCAGCAGTTCGTCACACGCCTGAAGCGGTTCGACAGAACGGAAGATACCCGCCACTCGCCTCAAAGACGATACCGCTTGCCGCCACTGCTGCAACTTTTCTTCCATATCAGCGCAGTCAAGGTGAGCTAATGGCGCGGCTTTCCATTCTTCGCGGTTCTTTGTAAAGTCGTACGCTGCTGTCCAAAGCTACAAGCACAGCGTCACGCCGCAAGTCAGTTTTGACACCCTGGATCCAACCGGCAGGTGCTGCAGAATCTGTATGATATCGAGGTAGGATCGCTCCTGCTTGAGCTGCCAGTCAGCAACATTGTGATGACGCGTCGAAGAAGTTGGTGAAGAACTACATTGCAACAATCAGCTATACAGCTTACTTCGTTGAGGCGATCGAAAACAACACAAACGCCCTCAAGCTCCTCAAATTCTGAGGCTTCAAGGCCGAAGAGAGCTTCAGCTTTGCGCAAATTGTCAACCTCTGATCTCGCAGCGTATACCCTTTCACTCAGCTTCTCCAGAGTTTGCCTATAACTAGCACACTCTTCTACGTGCTTAAACGTCGTCGTTGCAGCATCCAACTCCGCACGGAGCGCCTCACACTCTGTTTGCAAGTGCTGGGCGCTGATTTGCCTTCTCGCTTCTAGCTGCATCAACATAATGCCAGGGCGACCGTATATCAGGCAGGGCATTGCGAAGCTCGAAATGGGTAACGAGGTGCCGCTGGTAGCGCTTGTAGGATGACGTGAATTAATACACCACAATGCAACTGAAGCAGTGCTTGTCGATGCACCTGCACTTTTCTGACTCTATAGCATAAAAGCCAAACTTGGGCATCTTTCCTAACTTTCGCCCGACCAAACAAAGTAAGCCTACCCTCTCTTTCGCTAAATCAAGAATGCCGTTTGTCTCGCAAAGAGCCATCTTAAGTTTCATTGGACAGCAATCTAGTTCAAAAGCTTGCTTTTGGACCCTCAATGCAGCGAAGACGAAGTGTTGTTCGAGAAGCGACATGAGGTTGCTGAGAGTTTGGCCTCTCGCAATTAGAGGGGCTGTCTCCTGGTGGACCACAGCCAAGTACCTCTTCAATTCGACTAGTTCTTGTTCGCTAGCTGGGACCATTGAAGCCTTAGATAAGGCCACTTCCCAAGCTTTATGGAGGCTGCTTACTTCGTTCTCCACCCATGCTAAGGCCTGGTTACACAAGTCGTCCTTAAGGTTGTTTACTCTAGTTCGCAGCATTCCCTTAGCTTTTTCTCCATCCACAAGAAATATCTTTGCTACAACCCTCGTCGTTAGCGTTCGAAGGCGATTTTCTGCTTGCTGAAAGCTTTCCAGTTTTGCTCCCAGCTCGGCCAAGTTCACTTTTCCCTCTGCATCGATTGGCAGTGCAGCAGCGGCGCGTAGAGTAGCGGCCACCTCGTCAAGCTGATGGCGTAGTGTTTCTGCCTCCTTAAGAGAAGACTGCACTGCGGACACCATTGCTTTCTCGGCAGCAGCTAGAAATGGCTCTTCGAGAGATAGTGGGAGCAATGGCTCCTCTGCTGAAGGTGCGAACGGCATTAAATCGCCCTCTGTGGTGCGCAACAGTGCACATACAGTAAACATTGACAATCTTGAGATGCCATTGCTCAAGGCCAGAAAAGTTTTCATACTTTCTGGACAGAGTTGGATTTCCTGCTAATTAAATATGCGAGGAGTTGCGTCGTGCCATGTACGGAAAGTTCTGCCTTTTCCCAGTTCATTGACAACCTGCTACCGGGGTATGGTGCGGCAAGGAGGAAGGACTCTGTAACATAAGGACAAGACTCATGACGTGCAGTATCTAGGGACGGATATGATCCGTAAGCAGCTGACCCAGTTTGTTGATTGTTGAAACAGCTTCCACCATGGTCAAGAAGGCTTGCCGGAGAAGTGCCTCTATGCTGAAGGAACATGAAAAACCGCAGCTGAGCGTCAAGTCGTAACTTGCTGTTAGCGCGATGTAATAGGTGGGACAAAAGCACGGAGAATGTGTTGCTTTGGCTTGCTTGTAGGAAAGTGTGCTGCTTTGGCTTGCTTGTCTGGGGACGGATAGAAGACGGCAGAGTCGTCGGCGATGAGAATGCTCAACTGCAGGAGGCAAGAAGCATTCCCTTCAAACTGAAATCCCGCGGCCAAAGTTGCATCAGCACTTTGGTGTGAGCGTGGATCAAGATGCTCGTCTACTGCTGCTTGCAGCATGTAGGACTTCCACTCGTTTGCGGAGTCCGTCACAAATGACAAAAGGTTGCTCCGCAACATTACATTAAATCTAATAAGTTGCCGGCGCAAGAATGTTTCAGGTAGTCCTGTTGCCACTGTATTTAGTGTAGCGGAAGATGAAGCGGATGCCCCTACGGCTATTCCCGTTGCACCCCCTCCTGTTGCATGAAGAGTAATGAGCGCATGGCAAAGAGAATCTCTACCAAGCTCTCTTAGGGCATCAGCAACATCCAATGCTAGCGCTTGCTGATATACAAGGTATTGTTCGGGATCTGGAACCTGCAGGTAAGGCCAGTGCAACCCCAGTGTAGGCTAGTGCTACAGATAAGCCAACGAGTGCCAGCCCCAACACTTTAGACTAGCTGGTGCGTCATGCAGCTGCATAAAAAAGTGCCAAACGGTACTAATTTATGTGCAGCCGAATGCTCCGTAGCCGGTCAGTTGCAGTACCTCTGGTGAGCTCAATAGAATAACAGCTGGATGCATGCTTTGAACGGCAAGAGCTGAATTCTAGTAGCTGGCTTACAGTCCATTCAGGGAGCTTCAGGGCAGAGGATTTTTTGAAGATTCTTGCGAAGCTGACGCGCTGAGGCTTTCGGCTTGGCAGGTCAAAAAAGCACAACCCTCTCAAGTCGCAAAACGTTCCCTCCAACAGCAAGCTTAGCTGCAAGCAACGTGCAACGGCTCTTGTGAATCCGCATTCAGCACAGAATTCACCGCCTTTACACGCTCAAAAGTAGAACCCTTCAGCCAGTCGTCAAGCCTTGTTTCATTGTCACGAGCTACACATTGCTTCATTACCTACTTTGAAAGTTTTTTCATTCGCGAATAGGGGCTTTTTGCGGAGGGCAAGCATTGCCCCTTCGAAGGCTGCACTAGCACCGACATTAAGCCTGCCAAACGCTGGCGGCGCGGGCGAAAACATCGGTTGCAGAACTTGCAACAGCAATGGCGGCCCCTGCAACGCTTCCTCTTGACGCAAGTCTTGATTCTGCAGGCCCTGTTGCTGTTTGGCTGAAATTGATTCGAGCTTGCCTGATGCGCGAAGACGTTCCGCGCAATAAAGGACTGCACTTAGCTTTGAGCCTTCAAGAAAACGGTCTTTGAGGTACTGTATGGCTGGACGGAGGGTGTCCATGTGCGAGGACATACTCCGGAGCCGGCCCACCGCTGTGGCCGCTTTGACTATAGAGGCGAGAAAATTCTGTGGAAGAGGAGCAAACGCCGAGGATGGCAAACTATTGACAGAGTTAAGCAGCTGCTGGCGAAGGACCGCTTGCCGCCGCCTGTTTGTGCAAGCTTCTAATCGCTGCTGCTGAAGTTGCGGCGGCTCGAAGCAAAAACGAAGGGCAAGGCGCCTGACGGTCTTAATTGTTCCATCACGAAGCTTTACTTCAAACCTTCGTTGCCCGCTATCATAACCTAGTACAATGCATGGAATATGGGTCCAGCTGTTGCCAACAAAGTGCAAAACTTCCGCCTCTGCCTCTCCTTCGCTACTCTTTGCGGCAGATGCCGTTAGCTCCCCCAAAGAAGGTGCTATTTCTGGGAGCATTTCCGGCAGCTGGGATGGTGGGGAAGCTTGATCAGCTTCGCTTTCAGCTGGCTTGCCTGTGCTTGTTGCCTCCCCCTGCGAGGCATCAGCCATTAACTGTTTTTCCTTCAGTTGTACCTCCAAACCGACTGCCGCTTCGTCATTATTGCAAATCGGGTCGTCCTCAAGCTTTGGCGGAGGGTAGGGGTTGTTTGCAGAGACATGGGTGGCGACGGTATAGGAAGCAGAGCGTCCGCTAGATTTGTTTTTAGGCAGCTCACTTTTTTGGTGTCTCATTTCAAGCCGACGTAGCTGGCATTCAGAGCGGCAGCGCTCTAGCAGTGCTTGGGGGGATGCCTCGCCGTAGTCTTCAGGAATGTCAAAGGCTTCCAACGGAAGGTTTTTAAGGTCCGATAGCGCATGGTGTGACTTGCCGCTTTCGTGGTTGTAACGTTCATGCTCAGGCCTGCCTTCACGTTCAGTGGTCGCCAGACCAACAATAAGCTTGTTGCTAACTTCAATGGCCTGGACAGTAGTTGAGACCGTCTCTAGCGTTGCTGGGAAGGACTGGCCCATTTGTGGGCCATTGTTGGGGCCCTTTCTCGCCTTTCCCACACCACGCTTCTTCCGACCGATATCGAGCGAATAGTTTTCTGTAGTTTTTAGCTTTCTCAGCAGCACCATCACCTCTTCAAGCGGGTTGAATGGATGCGAATCCTCTTCGTCCGCAGAGCCTTGTGAACTTTTTTCGCTAGAATCTAAATGGGCGCTTTGTTCTTCAAATCGAGATGTGGGATCCCTTTGTCGTCTTTGAGCAGATTGCTGCTTTAGGTTTACTCTAGAAGGAAGTACACTGGATTGGTGCTTTCCTGACCGATGAAATTTCGTGATGGACGGTGCCGGCGGTGAAGAAACAGAATGCTTAGCTTTGCCCGCTGGTGCTGACGGCGCTGGTTCCAATGTACTAGCTGCAGATGCTCCGAGGTGCCTTTGAGCCGCCCTACTCGATTTTTGGTTTGCTTCCCCCTTCGCACTTGGAACAATGCTTTTTGGCCTAGAAGACGGGCGGTTCGCTATAGAAGGTGGCCGTCGGTCACAAGCAGACCTTACAGCAGAACGGTGCTTTTCTTTTGCTTCTTGGCGATGCATCTGCTCAAGCTCCTGCTGCCGCGCTTTATGACGCGATGGCCATTGTGCTTGTGCAATTGCGGCAGAGGCAGCAGCTGCCGCTGCCGCCGCTGCCGCAGCGCGTGCCTCCTCCCTGGCTTCAGCCTCATCAACAATTTGCTGATCTTGTTGCTGCGCTGCTAAGGCCTCCTTTTGGGCGCTCACGTATGCTTCCTGCTGTTGCTGTGGAGTTTTATTCGTGCTTAGTTCCCTTACTTCAGCCTCCACAGCGTGACGCGCTCTTGTTTCCACTGCACTTCTCTGCGTAGCTGCTGCAGTGAGAATACAACGCGACCGTTCTGTGGTGGCGCTGTGGCTTAGACCACGGCGTGCAGGGAACTGCCCGCTAGGACCCCAAGCTTTGCGGGAATGACGGTGGTCTTCGGCTAGCCATTCGCGGAAGGTGGTGAGTGTGCGCTTGCGAGGAGCAATCAAGTACCTGGAAGCCACGAGTGAGGCGCGCTGATCTGAGCGTCGCGGCTTATTAAGAACTGACACGAACGCGGGTCCTGCAGCGCTGCTAACTCTAGTGGCTTGTGTGGGGCACTCCGTTAAATCGTGCGAGCCAACATGAACAGCTGCCCAGGGCGGCAACAAAAAATAGCCAGTATTCGTTGCCACTGTGAATTGTTCATTGTTTCTCACAGACTGTCGCCTCCCCTGTTCTTCTACCATAACATTGCAGTGTGGCTTCAGAGGCCCTCCACGTGACACATTAGGTCTGGCCTCCGCAGAACGGAGGCTAGGTCTTAGAGCAGGTTCCAGGAAAAAAGAAGTGGACTTTACAGTTTTGGCGGCGCGTAGCCCCAAGTAATCTGAGCAACCCGACAGTTTTGGCATTTTAGCCTGCGGAACGCTGTGGCGCAGAGTGGCCACGGAAAGGAAACTATGGGCGGGCTTCTGTTGATAATGGTTCCCCAGCATTTGTCGGCAGCTAGGGGGTCTCAAATCAGTGTCAGGTAGCTCCCTAGTGCTAATCGTCTCTCCATTGCTGAGGCCGTCACCTGTGAGACTTAGATTCACATTCTCCTTGCATTGGGAACTTGCGCTATCGCGCTTAGTGGGGGATAACAGACGGACAACAGGGAGGCTCTTCCTCTTGCAGTGCATTTTGAAGGTATATCACATGTGCAGTGGGAGCCAGGCCCGTTAAAATGTAGCGCTGTGAACGGCTGTTATTTTTGTTGCGCCTACGCCTTTCTCTTCATCCAGGCATGAAGGGCGCGCTCATCGGGGCAGTTGGAAAACTCAAACGTGGTGGTGGTGCCCAGGGTTGTCTACAGTATGCTTGGGAGTCTGTTTCCCAATCTCCTTGCCGTGTGACGCGGCAGGTGGAGTCCTATTGTACACTCCCAATTCAGTGGCACGGAACCTTCATCCCCAGAAGAAAATATGGGATCTCTTTGGATTTTTCGCTGTGATGCATTATCGGATATTCCGTGCTCCATTCCTAGTTCGGCGGGTAGGTGTCACACATCGATACGATGAAGGCTCGCTCGTCACTGTGTTCTTTGTGGCGTCCGCTGCCGTCTTTCAGGAGAGAAGGCACCTAGTCAAGAATCGGAGGATTCTTTTTAAAGCCAAAATACTGTTTGTGTGGAACTGCATTCCATCATCTGGGACAGTATTTCATTCAGGTGACCCTGCACCGTAAAAAAGCCACCCGTGGCCCCGACAGTATTGATCAAAGTGCGAGTAAAGCAGTGCCTACAGCTGTGCCTTTTTGACTTTTCCTACCGAAGTGTATTTGACATAGATTATCTAGGAGCCTCAAAAAAGATGGCAGGCAGCGAGGCTTAGGAGTACAGAACCTTAGGCCTCAGGCAGAGAGGCGTCCCGCGTAACTCTGGAATATGCATTTCCCGTGCTCGCGATGAAAAAACGTTCCCGAACTTATCATCATCTGTTTCTTACTGATGTGGCTGTTGTGTCCGGAGTTTTTTCTTGACTCATTGTGCCTGGAGATCCTGATCACAACTAAATTCAAACCTTACGGCGCCGATTCAGTGGAGTCTACTAGCCTGTTCTTGGTGTCCTAGAACTTGCCGGCAAGTTGAAAATCGGCAACTTTTTTCTACTGTGGATGTTCCCAAATGAAACACTGTTGAAGGGTACAGAAAGGCTCCAATTTATCTCTTTACTGTCTGTTCGCCCGCATCATGTTGTATCCGCAAAAACCCATAGGGAACAGCCAAACCTGAACCCCCGAAACAGGGATCAGAGCAGCAGCCAGAAGCTGCATACCAATCAGTGCTTTTCTGAAGAAATTTTTACTACTGTATAACAATGGGATTGTCTCGCCAGGCCATTGTATCGGGAGCTCTTCGCGAGCAAAAGCTAATGCGACGCAGGGAAGAATTTCTAGCAGCTGCACTGGACGTAGTTAATCACCAGAAAGAAATACAACACATTGCAGAGGTGTTCAGAAGGCGTGAAGCTGCAGCCGCAGCGGCTACCCTGCGCAGAAGAGTGTGTGAGGTGAGAAGTCAACTATCATCTGGGCTGGAGGAGAGAAGATGCAAATTGAAAGCACTGCTTGAAGGAGAGCAAAACGAAGCAAAAGCTATGATACGGCAGTTGCAGCAGAGTGCAGCAACTAGGGAACACGCTATGATGCAGCGTGCTGAAGCGCTTAGACGAAAGCGTGACCAGGAACGGAATGAAGAGGACAAGCGCCTCGACAATCTTCGACACAGGCAAGGGCAGGATGATCTGCGCTTGCAGGAACACCGGAAACTCGTTAAGGAGGTATCTTATCCTTCCATTTCTTCCACCCTGCGTTTCATATGAGAAATGAGAGGGGTAACTGCACAAGCATGTGCTAATTCCTCTTCATAGCCTTTCAAGCAATATTGCCAACTTGCAGAGCGGTTCCCCACCAAACTCGCTAGAAGGTAGAAACACTCATTAAACTTTTCGCTTGCAAGGGGAAGTTGTCTTGGGCAATATTACACCTTCTGCTACGCGAAACTAGCGTGCTTGTTGCACAGATGCTGGCAGCAAACGCCATGCAGATAGCTATTAAAAAGCAGCAGAAGCAGGAGCAGTATGCAGAAGAAGAAGTGCTCCAGGCGCTATGGACGGAAAATCTGAACGAAAAACGGCTGCGTGAAAAGAAGGCGATTCTTGCTAATATGAAGAAAGCCCAACAAATGAAAGCTGCCTTGCTCGATCAGGCAAGTGATAACAGTAGACACAGAAACGTTGCTACATATGTGCTTATGCTTCACAAACACTCGCGATATGAGTGCCGCATTTTGTCCTTTTAACTTCTCACCATGTTAGATTAGCGAGAGAGAGGAAGAGCGAAAAAAAGAGATGGAGAGGCTCAAGGCCGAAAACGAAGCGATAGCTCGTCGCCTGCAAGCAGAAAGTGAGGCTGCTGCCGAGCAACGCCTACAGCAAAGGAAAGACAGGTTAGAGAGAAGGAGAGAAATGGATGCTGTGCTTGCTGAACAGCTGGAAGAGCGCCACAGAAGAGAATTGGAAGAAGCCGAGCTTGAAAGGTAAGCCAACCGTCATTCTGTTCTGACTGCTTGCCTGCAATATCCTGTTTTCTATCATGCCCTCTACATTCAAGGCTGTGGACGAAAGCAGTTCTGTTGATTCCAGGCAGCAGCTAGCTACACAAGCCAAAATTGGGTATCAGGCAGAAGAGCGTGCAAAACTAATCAGGGAAATAGAAATCGAGAACTCGGAGAATGTTCGAATTGTAGGCATTAATTCACTTGGCCGCTAGCCGATTAGCAATAAAAATTCAAGCTCCTATCTTCTTACCGTGTCTCCATCTAAAAGGTAGCCTGCGTATTAGGGGAATTGGGAGCCGCACCCCGGAGCGCGCACGGCAACGCATATGTGGACTGCGACTCTATGAATCCCGAAAACATGTCATGTGATGTTGGGCGTTCAGCTTATGCAACAAGAAAAACAGCGGCAGATCCTAGAACTTCGGAAATTAGATGCCTTGTGCATTGAGGAGCAGCTCGCTGCGGGACGTCGAGAAGAGCTTCAGGTCTTGCACCCATTAGTTTTCTTTCATGAGCAACAGCGAGTCCAAAACTTACCGAAACGAAGATACAAAAGTTCTTAGCTGCTCGGTTGTAGCCCGCCACGGCTATTTATGCTCCACTGTCGTTTCTTGGCCTTGCAGCACCGGTTCTTCCCGTGGAGTTACTTAGTGATTGTTGTGTTGTCTTCAGCGTGCAGAGGCAGACGCTGCAAGGCGCCAAAGAGAACGCGCGGTGGCTACTGAGTGCAGAGGTATGGCCCCTGCGTTCAGCTAGACATATCACTGTAGCATTTGTGCAGATAGGCACTAATTATTCAAGTGTCGAGAAAAGGCAGCAGTGCATTGAACATTTCTAATGATGGGGGGATGGAAGTTGTTGTGCTGAAGGATGGTTTATCAACTCGTATATACGCCCTGCTTTGACTCTCTCTTTTTAGAGCAGAGACGAGCATATCTGTGCCGTTTCACACTCCCTGCTTTTGTCTCCCTCCTTTAAGAGCAAATACTACATGCGTTTGCCTGATATATCAACGATGTAAGCTTCCCTTCTACGCCGCTACAGAGCAAGTCAAGCAGCGTGAAGCACTCCGAGCAGCAAGGGAAAGCGAGAAGGCATTCGAAAGGGAGAGAGTTACAGCTGCAGTTGCTCAGCATCGTGCGTTGCTTCAGCAGGAGTAAGACCCGCAGCTTCTCACTTTAGAAGAGCAACGTGAGCACCTGCTCCATGGAGCAGACACTGGATTTTACGGCACTGTTAATTGTATGCCTGCAGACGTGTATCACGGTTAGACGCCATGAGAGCCTATCGCGAAGCGCTCGACCACCAAATCACACAGCGACGCATGCTGGAGCTAATGTGGTGAGTCCTACGTGTAGGGCGTCACTTCTAGAAAAGAATAGAAGAAACAATTGGATGATTTAAAAGCTCACATCGTTGCTGCAGTTGTTAGTGAGGCCCTGCACAATCACCACGCATAGCTCGAAAATTAACACAAGAGTGAGCAAAAGGGCTCAGAGTACATCAACTCGTCGGATCACACAGTTGTTGTCTTATGCCTTCCTATAGAACACTCCACATCTTTAAGCAAGCCGGCTGGCTATGGCCCGTCGTCCCCTTCAGTCTGTATTGGCAGTTTTCATGGGCGAGAACTATTTTAATTGGATGAGACAAATTTCTTGAACACTCGGGCAGCAAAGTTGGCGCAAATACACGCTAAAAATGTCCGAACTCCCGATGTCCAGTCTAGCCCAACTACAACGAAAGACGCCATGAAAGGTCCTAGCATCCAATGTTTTGATAGTGCCCCTTCTCTATAGTGCTGCACTCGTTATGTAGCCTGCATGGTAAATAACAATGGTGTAAGCCAGGACCACTTCAGCAACAGTACCAGTCTTTTCTTGGAATGAGACAAAGTGTTGCACCAAATCGTAACGGTCAGAACTCCCTGTCATTGAAATGCCTGCAGTGCGATTTCGCCTGCTTTTTTTGGAAGAAATTTTTCGCACATTGCCCTTCTCGTGCCAATGGGATCATTGCAACCGGCATGTAATGCGTTTCATCGCTTCTAGAGAAAACTATAGCTGGTTAGACGCCCCATGATGCGCTCCCACACCCGTAGCTTTAGAATTGGTTTCCTTTGAGGCTCAATTAAAAGCCAAACCTGCCATTTAAAGCCCAAACGAAAACATTTCCAGGGGGCCAACTCGCTAACTTAGTGTTACCCAGCTTCAGGAGCATCCCTCCTCGTTAACAAAAAACTTCGTTCGATAGGGCGGGCGAGCACACAGTTAGCCCACTATACTGCATATTAAAACAAATGAGCTGAACTCGGCAGGCTCCTGCCTTTGAAGGCTATCACAACAGCCTACAAAGCTGCCTTATTCATGTCCTGTGCAGCCAGTCTTTGCGTACTTGCGTTTGCACCATTCGGGCACTGATGCAGAGATGCAGAGTTGTAGGCGTTGCTCTATTGTGCCGAAGCTTCTGATTTTCAGTTAATTTATTGTTGCGCTCATTGTTACATGTTTGGAAAGGGCTGCCTGCAGAGGTGAGTTCTGAGAAGATGAGATGAAATGGGCCAATCAAGGGCTGGGAAAAAACCGTGAACTTCCAAGAAAATTTTGTGACAAGTGTTCAGGCTCGTAACCCAGCTTGTTGAGTCTGAAACGCTCGGCGCGTGAACGCAAAGCAGCACTGAGCAACGCGCTTTGTCCACTAATATCGATGAACCCGGTAAACAAGCATTTGATTTAAATATAATTGCCCTCATTTCAGCATATTAAGAGCTAGGGGGCACGACGAAATTTGACGAGAGCTCCCCAACAAACAAGCCAGGGAGGTCACTCACTGTGGCTCCTAGCATTGTGAAACAAGCATTGGGTAGCTGTTTGCAGTGGCTTTTCTGATGGATTCCTCAAATATTTTGAAGCTTATAGTTCGAAATATCGGAAATGTTTAAGATAGAATTGAGAGGAGTAGGCGCAGCTGAAGCTACTCAGTTTCCGGCCTGCCGCAATCGACGAAGTTGCTCCTATGGAACAGTAAGCTTTCCCCGCACTAGCACTGCATTTTAGCATGCAAATATACATTATTTACTAACTCAAAATACTCAGAAAAGATCTCACTCACAAGTCTCCGGGGTTCTTTTGAGGGCGTCCTGGGACGCAAATGGAGAGCAGGACAAAGCGTTATCGTGTGTGGCTTCGGCCGCACGGCGGGGCGCAAGAAGATCATTCTGATAAGACTTCCAATCAAAAACCCCAGGAAAGTGGACTTTCGGGCATGAATTTGGAGGGTAGAGGCGCGAGTGCCTGTCCAGTTTACGACCGCACCGACAGAACTGCCACTACTCAAGATGACAACAGCGCCATCAACCCCCCATTAGACAAAAACGACGACAAAAACAAAATAACAGAGAGCCAGAGGCTCGGCGTTCGGTTTTCGTCTACTATTCATGTTGCTGCTGCACATGGTGAAACTCGATTGTCCAATGTTACTGCTTCCGCCACCAGCCAAAGCGAAACCGTAAGACGCGTTTTGACACAAATTGGTTCATCACTTTCACATTAGGTGATGAGCACCACAAATGCCTAGAATTGCATGTTCCAGCCTAGATTTTTGTGAGCTTCGCTGCCTTGAAAGGAAGAAGCCCCGAAACGGATATTCAAGGATGAAAAAGAGTTGTACATTCCAAGCAGGTGGAGCTCTTGGGAACAAAATAAGTGCTTTTCACACAGGTCGAAGACTCGCGCTCAGGAACTGGAGATTTCAAACAAAACCGATGATACTGTCAATTGCAACATTAGCAGGGACTCACTCACAACTAGCCAGGCAAGCACGTCAGCAGGTAAAGCTTCATACCTACTCGTTAAGAAAGTTTATCCACTTCCTTAATCAAACGAAGTATCTTTGATTCGTTTCACTGCTGCTCCACCTTCTGTCTCAGAGAATAGTTTTTCTTTGTCCGCGAGAGAGGTCGTCATGGAAGTACCACGCGGCGGGACAGCCTGGGGAGAAACAAGCTTGAAAAACGAAGAAAGCACCGCTTTGTTCTTTTCATTGAGGCTGTCCCATGAAGGACAAGATCCTGAATCCACTCATGGCTTGGGCAGGACAATCAATTCGCGATGGAACAACACAGGCAAGGCTGCAACTTCAGTCAACTTACTTAACAGCGATAAGCTTAGGGTACTCAGAGTAAGTGGTCCTGTTGTCGTCACTGGAGATAGTTTCCTTTACATTCAGCTCGATGTAGATAGAAGATTGCGGAGACACATTTTTGAATGCAGGCTTCTGCGCGTGGCCTCTACAAGGAGTCGTTTTGCCCGGTGATACACAGACTCTGCACTTTGGCTACTGTTCTAGTAGACGAAGCGGTCTTCAGTACTGCCGCTGGGAGCTGCGCGTGTGCCCAACTAGTAATGCTTGTGTTTGCACTGTATCGTCGTCGACAAGCACGCCAGGAACGGCTTCAGGGAGCACAATTTATACGGTCGCCGTTGTTTCTGCTCCGACGCTGCCTCTAGAGGGGCTTTGGCAGCAAGACAAAGAAACTTGTAGATTACAGGCTGTCGATGCGGCGGAGGATATTTTGCGGGTGCTAATACAGGAAACAGTTTGCTGCGCAGCAAGGCGGGAAGAAGCTCTGACAAGTGAATAGCGTACTACACATAGACAGTCCCGGTTGTAGATGACAAAGCAGGTTCTTCTTCAAGGGCTGCGCAAATGCGTCACTATTTTGTCCATAAAAACGCTTTTACTACATGTAGCAATGCATCCTCCGGTGCTTGTGTTTCGCCCGTCATTGTAGAGTAACAGCACTTGCGCAGCGGTTCCGTAGTTGAGATACAACCGCCGTTATCCCTCCACGCGTTGCAGGCATGGACGATCCACTGGCAAGAACAGCCGTATTTAAGGTCGTAAATGCATCAATGGGCATCACTGCCCCACCAACAGTAGTGGACTCGCTCTTGCTACTGCAACATCAAGCGAAGTCTTTGCAGTGCTCCCAAGGACAGCAGCTTGAGCTGTTGCACACTCGTTTTACCTCACCCTCTTATAAAATCTTGAGTGAAGTGCAATCGCTACAGTCTGGGGAGAGGGTCACCGAAGCACCAATTCTACTGGAGACGGCGGAAACACCAAAAGCCTATGCTCCGTCCCTCTCAGATGCGATTGCTGCGGGAAAGGCTGACATCACAATGTTCAGCATGCGAGCACTCCAAAAGCAGATCTGTCAGCTTCCTGCGGAGGAGCGTACACAGCAACAGCAGCTCTCTTGGAGCCTTAGGAAGCTTCTCAGTGACTGTGATGACTCCCAACTTGTGCTGCAAGACCCAGAAAAAGAGAGGGACTTGCACCCAGCACTGCTGCTGCAGCGAGAGATGGAGAAGATATCGGCAGCTGAAGCAGCACTCTACACGGCGTTGAGTAATGCGATAGAGACATTTTCTACAGCACTGACTGAGGCCCTCGAGATGGCAGGAGTAGCCTGCATAGAAGGTGCGCGTATTCTTTTTCCTGTGCTGAGTTATTCATTTCTGGCGGCGCCGTTAGGCCAGGTTGGCACTTGACGGCCCCCCATTCAGCTAAAGAAAAGTGCCTGGTATCTAGCGACTCTTCTGGTTCTTCTCGTTTGAGTGGCTTCGCACTCTCTTCGTAACCCTGTGACAGCTGTTAATGCGTCTGCAGATGAAAAAGGACGACAAGCAGGAAAGAATTTCAAACGGCAAGCGAACCGGGGCAGGCGTGACAGCAAGGCCTCCGAAGATTCCAGTAGAACCTCAGCGACAGCAACAGCAGCAGCAGTCGCTGCTGCGGCAGCCGCCATAGCTGCAAGCAACAGCGAACCAGAGGATGATGGCCCCCAGACACGGCAACATGTAGCAGAGCAGCTGCTGCAGTGGCTTTTAAATGAAGCTATAGCTGCTGCAGAACCACAGATGATGTTGGAGGCAGCGCAGAATGCAGTAGCTTGGGGTGGTGTCCTTGCTGAAGCTGCGCGGCACAGATGCCAGCATCGGCTGCCCTATGAAGCCCTTGAGCAACAGTTGCAACGAACGCCATTGCCGTCCTTTCTAGATCATCGTGTGCACCTCATGGCTGAATACCTTTCTAAGAAACAAGCGCACACTGTTAAAGGCTGTGCGGCATTCTTACCCGTTAACTTATTATCTCGTTTCCTGAAGTAGCTACGCATTATCGGGAAAGAAACGCTAAGATCAAAACCTAGCTAGATAGACGCGACTACAACTGCATGCACTCATGCTGATGTCTATTCTGCAGGTACACGAGGTGTCGTACTTTTTGATGGGAGTACTACAACTGAGCTGCTGTCTTTCTTGCAGCAGCAACCCTCGGCTGAAAAGCAGATCTGGATGCAACAACTACTGCAGCAGCGTTTAGGTTACCTAGCTGACCTCTTGCCAGAGTCAAGAGACGGCCTGTTGTTGTGCCTGGAAATATCTTCTACGCGTCAGCAGCAGCTACAGTTCCAGCACCCAACGCTTCTGCAGCAACTGGTGCAAGAACTAGTCGAAGGTTACTTACTGCCAGCCTTATTCGGGGATGAACCACAGCAAATTCAGCCACCTATTGTTTATCTTGAGACCCCAGAAGACTTCGCAGCTGTAGTAGATGACGCTTATTCTAGTCAAGTGGCTGCACCAAGCCATCATGCACTACCTCAAAGACACGCGTCAACTGAAGACGGAGAATACGAAGACGCAGAGGGCCTTCCCTGTCTCCTTGTTGTTCCCTCGTGGCAGCAATTCTTCGTTGCAGCGACCACTAAGCTAAAATCCCTGCAGAAACAGGTGACTGTGGCAAATTATCAAAAGATATCAGACGCAGCACAAGACGGAGACGACGATGGTGCCGCAACTGTTGCAGAAACAGATGAATATAATTACCTAACCGCGAAAAGGCAGCTCGCTGCACTTTCGGAGCTGCTTCATATTGATTTTGTCGTCCTTGACACTCCTTCTTCTATCTACCAAGCGGAAGACGAGCCACTTGCGACGGAAGAGAAAATCGTGCAGAAAACCCCACAAACGCTGGCTCGGGTCGTAGCCACAGCAAGAGCCAGCAGCCCCTGGCTGCTAGAAAATCCAACAACCCGCGCACTGGGTCCCCATGCAATAGCGTATTTGAAAGCTGCTTGCGTGCTCTTAGGAATTGATTCATCTGCATTGCAGCAGCGCGCATCAGAATGTGTAGCAGACTGGAGAGAAGAGAGACATGGAAGGCAATCCTTAGATGCAGCCGCTGCCTTAGCAATGCGAAAAGCTCAACGCAGCTTCGAAACTCTGTGTACGGACAGAAGGAGCTGCTGTTGCATCATTCCACATGTTTCGACGCAAAGCAGTGGCGCCAATTTGAACCCGAGTCCACATCCACAAGAAGGAACAGCAGTGAACGAACCTTTAGTTGTGCTAGACCAGCAAATCAAGCACAGAGTCACCGCAATCTTGTGCTCCTACTGGGACAGCGTGGTTCCCATGGGGCCGGCCATGACTGCAGCTGAAAATGCAGCTTCTCAGGAGTTGCTCTTTAAGTGGGCCTCTTTGCAGTTACAGAAGCTGAGAACGCTAGTCTCTGGAACGATCGTATCAAACGTGCTCCTGGCAGGAGACCTTGTCAGCCTTGTTTGCGGCTTGGCGTTGAACGGGGATCTGGCAATGCAGCCAAATCAGCAAGAAACGCCAAAACAAGAAGATTCCGCAGTGGAACCATATTATAAAGCAGACAAGGCTGCAGCAGGCGCTGCAGCAGCAGCAGCTGCTGCTGCTGCTGCTGATCCTGCTGAGCAAGGCAGGCTGGCAAGGGGTTGGCTGCGGCTCTGTAAATCAGTGACAGCAGGTAGTGGTAGGAACAGCAGCATAGCTAATGGCGGTTTCAGCATCCAGCCACGAATTCACGGGCTACAACAACTGCGCAAATTTGTGCACCAGCAGCTGAAGATCATCTTGGAAATAGGTGGGTACAATGCAGTATGGCTGCAATGATAAAACCGAAGCTGTATGCATGTTTTATAGATCATGCGTTGCTTCTCCACTGCAGCACATGAGAGGGACGTCATCATACAACTGCCTACTGAGGTGCTTTTCCGGGTGGATCCGCAGCCTGGTGGTCCTCCCCAAGCAGTAGCTTGCGCTCCAGTAGAGACACCAGCGCGTGTGCGGAAAACCAGCGATGCTGGAGGGGGAAATCAACGGAATAGCACTAAAAATAGAAGGGGCAATCCCAAAAGCGACTTCTCTGAAAGTCACTTTGAGGACACTGCAGCAGGTGAAGCGATGGGAGTCAAGGCAGCTGAAGATGACAAAGAAGTTTCCACGCTTTTAGTGTGTCATTTGCCTCCGGCTGAACTCTTGTGGGACGTGATCTTCGCTGAAGGAAGCAACGCATGCACCCCTTCTGAGGATGGGAGCAGGAATTCAGCAACAGCGAGACGGCGCTCGCAAGAGTCACAGGAGAATATCAGGGCCTGCGCGACGTACGCAAGTTTAACAGTAGAGGCAGTTGAGGCTGCTGTAGGCTCGTTTGGAGGACCAACCCACGTTCTGTGGCTAGGCGAGAGGTTGAGCAAGCAAGCGGATGGAACGGACACCCTGCTGGCTGCTGCTGGCATTTTCGATGCCACAACGGTCATGATGGAAAGTCTTCTGCAAACCAAAGAGTACAAAGGAACTCCACATGATGAACAGTTCACCATGATTGGGTTTAAAGCGAGCCAGTGCAGTTGTTGGCTGCTCCGCGTAGCCGTCTGCAAGTTATCTCCTTTCTATCGACTTTGGTATTAAAATTATTTTCTTTCCACCCAGTTACGTGCGTTTGTGTTTCCTGTTGCTTATGTGCAGTGTACTTGAAAATAGCTTTTCCTCTGGAGTTGATGCCTTTGGGTACGGAGCATCAAGTCCAGATCTCGTAAGTAAACGACCGAGTGAACAAAATATAATGCATATACATTTAGCTCCCTACGAGATATACATTAATGTGCTTTGTCGCGCTCATGTGTCTAGGCGATTTTTTCACCGTCAGCATCGTTTGACGTCGATTCAAGCCGATCCAGCATAATGAGCAGCACGAGGAGTGTGAGCATGAGCAATATCCAGAAGAAATCAGCGGCAGAACATCTCTTATTCTTCGGTCCCATAGCAAAAAGCAATTGGACTCTGGCTGCTGAAAAAGGAGCTCTTAAAGTCGAAGCGTATCTTGATGCACGGCCTCTCCTTCATATGCTACAAGGGAGAAGAGTCAAGGACTTCCTCCTTGCAGATGATGCACTAAGCATGGAAGAAAACGTTGGGACAAAATGAGTTCAACGGCTGTCGCCAAACTCCAGGTGTAGGGTAAATATTCACTACTGCTGATTCTTGTCGCCTACATTGGTAACTCAGATGCTAGAATATGCAGCACAGCGTATAGTTCCGATGGCGGATGGGCGACTCTAGCGCAGCCTTCACTTGCAGGAGTATTCCGCTCAGGGTATGTAAGAACTATAAACTGAGTTCCCAGCCTCGAGACGATCAAACACGGCTTTCTAGAAGCGTCCAAGATATGCTTGTGAAAATTTGAAGTTGCCGCTGAATCACTTGCGGCGCTTCAGATGAACGAGTTGCGGTGCTTAATTGGGAATTTGAAAGCTCTGGTTCCACTCCACTTCACGCTTTGCCATGTCTGCATTATTCGGCTCTGTGCTGCCAGAAGCACCCCACCCCAACGATTGACAGTAAAAGGCTTACCACGAGTACGGAAGTCCTTTACGTAGCAGGAAGCCTCCCAAATAGGCAGCAAATGGCGTACGCACGGAAAGCACGTGCCGCTGTGCCTGGCAGCGCCTCCACTACAAACCTCTGCTTGTCTGAGGTGGCATAGTTGAAAGCAACGAATCCCTATATGCATGCTAAACGCTTTGGCAAATTAGAAAACATAATAATAGCGTCAAGAAATGTCATACAAGCTCTCAAATATCCATGTAGAGGGACACATGCATACATATAGAGGGGCACATGCCGATGACCACAAATCCAGGAAAATTCCAGACAAAAGTTCAGTTCTACGCATTTCGAAATTTCCTGTAATCGTGAAGTCCGAGAGACCACCTTGCATGCAAGTAGCTTACAGGAGTATGCGGTTGCACGTCGTAAAAAAAAAAAACGCCATCCCTACCGGGACAGCAGCGTCATTCCCACACCTAGCATCACAGGCGAGCGGAACAGCTAAACTGTTCTGCTCGCCTGCAATTCCCTTAAGAGGCCACTCAGCCCACAGAAAGCAGCGGAAAGAAAACAAAATCTTGCGATGCGAATGAGTGCTTGCACTATCTGCTAGTTTGCGGGTTTGCGCCAAAAATCTCCCGCCAGAGGTGGCCTGGGCAGCAAAGCGAAAGCATGTGCTGTATTTCCTCGTGGACAAAGCATTCAAGCGCGGATATGTCCCATTACTTTCTAGTGATTCCGTATGGCGCTTGCTTGCTCTAAACTTGAAGTGGGCGCTGTTTTTCCAATAGACGAATATTGCTACGCAGGAGCAAGTACTTCGTTAACGCCACTGGCTAGCTCAAATTACTTTCGCACGTCCAACTTGCAAACGTGCTCATAAGGCAAGCCCTCAACGGTAACTCCTGTACAAGGCAAAGAAGCGAACACAGCCCAAGCTCTGCATCAAATATGTCCACACCGAAAGAGCCTTTAATGTTTAAAGGGATGTGACATTCGAATCAAAAGTGCGTAGTTCGGCTTTCTAGATCAGCTTACACCCACCTGAATTGCCCCGGTACTTATCTAGCTTGAAGAGGGGTCCTGTGTCCAAGGTCACTCGCACCGAGTACGAGTCAATGTTCAGCGCCTCTAGCCTTCCTTCGTGACCACGCCATTCGCCAAGGACCACAGCGATCCGGCCGCCAATGGCCTATAAAAAAGGAACAGAATGTAAGTGAAAGCATTCTGCAAACCTGAAGTGTTAACACCGTATCTGGAAGCCTCCTTATAAAACTCCGCAGTCAGTTCCACGTGGCAGAGCGGACTGAATTTCGGTTTTTTTTTCATGTGTCAAGTGCGCAGCTAGCTCACAGGTATTACTGTCTCCAGATACTCCTGATCGAGCTTCAAGATCGCACCACCTTCTAGCATCTCCAAAACAGCAGAATACCTAAGAAGTGCACGTTGGAATTTGACAGCCAGGGTGTTGCTGACTGCACGGGAAAAGTACCCGCCTGAACTGTCTTGGTACAACAACCGGTCGGTTTGTTGTTCTTGACACAGGGTTTACTGCCTGAGGAATTTAGCATTCGCATTCTCACCTGCCATCCACGGTTTTCACTACTCCTTTTTTCTTGTAGTACTTTCCGTCACCCAAAGTCTTGTGCACCACCTTGACGATCAAGCTGGGCCGTATCCACCTACATAAGAGCAATAACAAATGACGAAAGATATGAACGCCCACCGAACACTGTCGCTGTGCAGGTTATTTTGATTTCAGCAGCCTCACCAGTCAGCACTTGCGTGCTTGTGTGCTGGTGGGCGAAGCCCGGAGCTGGCATGGGCATCATTGTTTCTTTGCTCTTTGCTGTCATTATGAGCTGTTGCTGAAGAAGACCGTTCTTTCAAGGACGGGCTCCCTTCAAATACTGCCATTTTTTTCTTCTGGCATTCAGCCTCGGCCACCAGAGCCTCCATTTCCGAAAGCTGTAGCACAGTAATCCATGGGCAGCTGAGACGCATGGAGGTCCTAGAAATGGCATGTTCATCTAGTGACAAAGAAATCTAAGCATACGCACGCACTGCGCGGCGTGCACGCCCTCATGGTGAGGCACGCACAAAGGCCACGCAATCGCACTGATTTTACCTTGCGTTTCTCTGGCAGTCCTCTGCTTTTACTTTGACGTTCCTGCTTCAGCTTTTCGTGCAGTAGTTGCAGCGCATTCGCCTTTTTGTCTGCGGACTCACGCGGCTTGCTGATGCTGAGTGTGACGGTTTGCCCATCTTCTCGCTGTAAAGGCGTATATTCCTGAGGGCACAGCAAAAGAAGCACAAGCAAAAGGAATAGCAGCAGCTTCACGAAAGCCAAGGCAACTGCAGCGCCTTATTCTGCGCAGTGCTTCTTAACCTGTCGGTCTCTCGTGCACCGCAAGCACTTTAGGTTGTGGGGCCCACTGGCTTCTGAAATCCTCCGCGTTGTCTGGCCTCTTCAACAAGAGCCTGAATTTGCTCCATGCGAGCATCTTCCTGCGACTTCTCTATTTTCCTTTTTCTCTCCAACTCCTTCTGCATCGCATGCATAGTTGTAATGCGCAGCAGCAGGTCAGTGAGGTTCCTCCCTTGATAACCCTCTGCGTGCACAGTTACTGCTGCTTTCTTTGTCCACGCATGGCTCCCGTGGGCGGCTTGTGCTATCATCGGAGTCTACACATGCTGCTCACCTTCCTTGCCAACTCTTCATGGTCAATGTACTCCACATACCAACCCTTGGGAGTATACTCAATTTTACACTTTTCCGTTGCTCCCAAGTACTGTAATCACAGTATAACCCAACCCGTAACTCTGAAACACGAATACTACGCCGCTCCACAAAAGGTGAAGCGAACCGGCCAGTCATGAACGGATTTGACTATAAGTTGTCCAAGCGAATTGCTTGAGGATAGACCGCTACGATGGCCTCTGAAGCAAGAATAAAAAATGCCGAGCTGTTACCTGCACAAATTCCGATAGAGTCACCCATATAGTGGAATTCATGTGGATGTGGTGCCGATCACAGACGACGTTGTTGTAGACGGAATTCGCCAACACCCGGGTGCGGCAGTACCTACAAAAGTGAAAGAGGCCAAGATGTCTCACTTCATTCCTAGTCCCCCGGACATCGTAGACGCGCAGTTTTTTAAATGGTTTCTGAAGAGCGTCAATTAAACATTACGACGCTCTTGGAGAGTGGTCGCATGTGCTAACTAGTACACCAAACAAACGGGGTGCACCCGATATGCACCTCGTTTTCATAAGTTTCATAAATTCCTCCTCGAATTCCCGAGAAAATTCGTCCATGAAGTGCCCAGGGCGCTGAATGAATAGCTGCATTGCCCGTTGGTGGCCTTCTGACATCCTGTGACACTGCGACGAACTCATATTTGCAAAAGACTTCATAACAGGGGACTCAGATGTTACAAAAGTACTCACGCCGTAGCACAATCCGCAGAATGCCAGCATCTCAGCCTGAGTGCCTTCGTGCCGGATGCAGTGTCGCTGTTGCGGCTGGGTGTTACTCCCGCTGGCGATTGACCTTGCTGCTATCGCGCCAGTAAAGAGCGCTGCTATGGCCTTACTTTGAAACCATTCTCATCTCGGCACTGCTTCTGGCACATTTGGCAGTACCAGCGCAGCTTTTGGAGGCCGGAGGCCTTGATCTTGTTGCTCATCCATTTTGGCGTCCCAAACTCCGCCTTGGGCATTGGACCTAGGGGGAGAGTTCCAAGTCTGCAGCTGTTAGACCTGCGCGTTTACCCAGGGCCTCTGCAGAGGCTCTCCAGGAAGGAATGCGCTGTAGTCGCTCCTTGTCGCGCCCGCTATGTCTGAAGAAGACACCAAAAATGAGGGAAGCACGATAGCGCATTGAAATGCCGTGAAGAGAGAAGTTGTTGGGCAAACGAAGGAGCTTCTGCATCAATAATCAGACTACTCAGCAGATCTTATGCCATGTGTTTTCAAGTGCAAGGCTGCTCGTCAACTTGGCAGTCTTTGGGAGGCGGCTGCTGCTTCTTCCAAGCTGCATTGCAGCGGCGCATGGCTGAGGTGACAATAATGAGGAACGACAGAGAAGTCAAAAACTCATCCTAGTTCTCAAAATCCAAATTTTGTTCGTCATCACCGACTTCCACACTACTTCTCGCAGTTCAGAGGGAAGCAGTACCTGGGCACTCATACCTCCGGAAGTGTACCAGCAAGAAACCCCTTCTGCTCCAGTTTGTACGTGGTATGCATCTCATTTCACTACACTTTTGTAGAATGACGCTTGCTTAACAACAGAAGTACTATGACAAGTGTTGCATGCAGTTGGAGGGCCCTCAGTCGTGAGGCCCCAGCAGAACTACATTATCTGCAATGGCAGCCATATGCATCCTCTTTGTTTTCACAAGAAGTGTTGAGAGCATGCAAGCATTTATACTTGTTTGCAAAAATGATAGGCCTATCACTACTCTTCCAAACTGCTTTTAAGTTTCCCAGGCAATGTGGGATTTACTCGATCCGGGATGGATGCTGTGGCAGTCTTTCTGAGTCAGAGGCGTATCTAGAGGCATAGCAAATACCCCAGCCATTCAAATAGCATAACTAATGCTCTCAGGAAACATCTGCGCTTTTGTGCTGGTTGCCTCAAGACACTGAGGAGCTCCTGCCCGCTGTTGCAGGGACTCTTAGTAGCGCTAGCTGCGGTTAAATGCCATCAAAGATCGCCACTAGCGTAGTTTGTTTTGCTGCCTTCCGATGACTCGAGTAGCTTTCAGGTGTGACTCATTGGTTCGAAGCTGTATGCTGGTTAAATGAGTCTCTCGAGTTCCTTTTGCTTGCCTTCAAACGTAGACTGCCTTAGTGTATGTTTGTGTAGGCCTTGAAGGCAGCAACCATTGAAGCATTTAAACTCCGCACAGGACAAAAACAACACTGCTGCCTTTGAGTGTACGAGCCAGTTCGGGTTATTCGCAGCTTCTGACCCTACACGAGATACCGAAACGCTCCTGGCGAAGCTGGCTTAATGTGCATATGAAATGCCTCCTGCAGCCTAAAGCGTCTTGCGTGCTCTTTTACCGGCCATCAGGAAGTTTTCTTTGCAAATATCATATGTGATTAGTTGGCTATTCACCGTACCCTTCGGTAATCATTGACTGTCACATCGTATGTAGGTCGGAAGGCACGCAGTATGTCCACCGCAAAGCGTCTTGCCACCGCATGCGAGTCCGGAGCAAACGAATCTATAAAAACTTCTACTTAGTTGCACAAAGTAGTCTGACACAACTGAAAAGCATCTCTCCATTCACTGCTTGGATTGCGCGAAAGAGACTCTAAACACCTAATATGCCGAATGACGCCTGCTGAAAAGGCGGCAAAATGCATAGTTTAAATCTCACGCAGTGCTTCATCCAGACACCAGTCTAGCAGTGATACTGGAAAAAAGGTGCTGCTGTGATCGGTTCCATTACCCACGGGCACTGCTCGTTCACCTGCAGTAAAGGCCTACTTCGCATTGACACGGTTTGTGCAAAAGGTCTCGCAAATCTAGACAAAACTTCTCCCTACTTAAAAATTGAAAAAAATTTAAGTATACCACAGAATCAAACAGCCGCCCTGAGCAATAGGCAAAAGCACTAGAAGCGCCTCGGCGACTTCCAAGTTTTCTTCGCACACGCTTTCGTCGCTCCTATACTATTGCAACTGCCTCATTGGCGCTCTCCGTGCTTAGGAGAGTCTCTTAACTGCTAACATAAGAGCATTCCCATGAAAGCATGCTTATCCAAATGTGCAGAAAATGCCGATGCGGCGAGCCCGCACACGCTATCTGATTGCATCAGCCTCACCAGAACAGAACTGTTCTGTTTTGTTCGGCTTCATCTCCCAGCCCTCACAAAAAAGGAATCCATCCAGCTACATTTCGCGAGAATTGTAACAATGGGAAGTTAACTGTCCCTCGAAACCGAATTTCCCTTCGATGCGGGCTTCTTTGCCAAGAACGCTGAGATCCCATTGAAGATCATGTTCGCGGTTCTTATGTTGTTGGCTGTGCTCTTTGAACGCTCAAAGTCAGGGACGTTTTGTGGACTTGTGTCTATTTCTATTGTGAGATGATCGGAAACTTCGTTCAAACCCAAAACTCCCTCGTCTACCACGCCATACATCAACGGCGTCTCGTGCCGGAATAAGCTCACCAACACGACATGCAGCTGAACACTGTCCACAGACGCAGCCTTCACAGCGTCTAAGACTCCAGAACTGGCTTGTTGGTGGAGTCGCTCACAGAATGTCTCGTTGAAGAACCCCCATTCAAGCCGCAACAACCTGTGGAGGAGCATGCAGACAGCTTCTGCCGTTTTATTTGTTTCGTTCGCTTAGTTCGCGCTACCTTTCTTCTTACCTTGTTCACCTTGATATGTAATGGTGGCTCCCTTGGCTACAAATAGGTATATCTGCGTGGCTGTTTTTATTGTTCAACAATAACGGAAAGGGCAGCTCACCACTTGAAGTAGCAGCGTCCCGCATACATCCAGTAGTCGTTAATTTTTCCCGGTATAGTCATGATCGCCTCATGCCTAGAATAAAGAGCCTTTAGTGTGTCCAAAAGACCGACGACTCCTTCCTCTTTCTCGTTCGAACGGTTTTTTCGTAAGTTCCCTAGGCCCGCAAGTGCACCTGAAACGAACTGCCAGTTGCTGGCGCTGACCTGCAGGGGCCGGTTAAAGCCCTGACGCGGTTGAATGAGAAGATAGACTTCGGAGGGAACTCTGCTGTCCGGACTTTGCGTGAAAACAGCGCCGCAAAGATGGTCAAACAGCCCGTAGCTTGTTTTTGAGTCAGGGCACTGGTACCTGAAGAGTGCCGTGGCCCATGGCAAAGGGAGGCCAAATCTATCCTTATTCCATAAATCGATGTAGCGGATCTCGACGTCAAAAACCAGTTCCGGAAATGCCCGCTTCCACATAGAATAGCGCCGAAGAAGGTTCCAGCGCGGCACCTTCGACCGCTGCCGCTCATGCTCTTTTTCCCATGTTTTCTTCATACTGTGATGAGCTTGTTCCATCATTGACAACCAAGAGCAAAGGTGTGGACCAGTAAACATTGGGTCCAGAAGCTCACCCCCCTCTGCATTCGACCCCGCTCTCGGTGTCACTACCAGGTTACCTGGCAGGCCCACACGGCAGCCCTCCGCACTCATGTACCACATGTTGCTGCCTAAAGTGTTTAATACTCTCACCATACTTCCTTCAGGAGAGTAAACGCCAACATCTGCAACAGCAAGTTCAAAAAGTGCGACCATTATCGCGCCTAGAGGCGCGAGGCGCGGACGCTGCGAGGATCGCATTGTAACACTGGATTAATAAAGACTTAATGTTGAAAAATAATACCAAAAAGATCAGAAGATATGAATAGAAGAGCTAAAGCACGTTTCGCCCTCCGAAATAACTGAAACGAGCAGCGATCATCCAGTTCGAGTGGTGGATCAGCTTCTGTGCTTCGATGATCGAGGCCAGACCAGACACTGGTTCTCTACAGCGAGGGCTGCTGCTTTTACAATGCTTTACAAATTTATAACATACAATTTGTGTATTTGGCTTATGTTACTGTAATCATGAGTTATTAGCGCTCTAGAGCTTTAATGTCGCAGGGCCCTCCACTACAACTGCAGCGCAGCGTGTTCACGTACGGATACAAAAGGAGTCATTTTAAGTAGTTTCTTGGGTGGCATCAACTTACTCTTCATTAGGTTATGGCCTCTCCGATTTTTCGTTCCTGTGAAGCTGCTTGCGCCATCATGTACAAGGCACGATATACCGGTTCAAGGAGGCGCTAAACTGTGAGCCTGCTAGTTGCAACGAGAGATCTGGTTAAAGGTAGGAAGCTCAGAGTTCAGCGCCTTCGCCGGTCCCTGCCATGCTATTGAAAAATTCACCCAAGATTTTCCTTTTGCTTACTAATTCGGCGACAAGGAGGGGTGCATTTTTTTTGGAAAGCAAAGGCTCATAGGGGAACGCTCATTGAGTGCCTTAGTATTTCAATGTGGGAGGCACCACTGCTTTAAGATAAAGGCTAGTGGTGTGGTGCACGCAGCTAATAAAAGCCTGTACGCGGTTAGCCTGCACGGAGTTCTGGGTGCCAGTAGGCACAGCACAGTTGCAGCATATGGAGCCGGCCTACAGGGCCAGCAGACAGCAAACACCCTTTAACGCTTGACGCAAACTGTCTGTGCACGAGTTTACGGTGGATCGAGCTCCAAGTTATGTGCGGCGTGATAGTAGCCGCAGTCACGACATCCGTCTGCGGTGAACGTCTCCAGCGTTCCGCAGATACCGTTTTATCCCTTGCCATAGTATCTCGAAGGCATCCTCTGTATGGCATTCATAGTGGAATTTACTAATATCGTGGCAGATAGCGCAGCCTAATAGCCGCACTCGCAGCTCTCTGCATGAGCCCTCTGGCTTTCTGGGACCTGAATTTTGTGTAGAAAATATTGCTGAAGTTACAATTGATCATCAGTGATTGCACTAAGTCTATTCGTACAGTTTACGCTTACGACTTACGTTTGTTGCTGCGCACAGCTGAAAGGCTATTCGTTCTGATGGGCTGCTTGATTAGCCATGGTTCTAGTGAGCTTCACCAAGCCGTGCGCCGAAGAAAGTACCAGGTTATGATAGGCGAAGGCGTTCGCGGTGCCCATGGATCGCGAACAGCGTGGGTGCAGGCGTTTCTGAGACCCACGGTTCGCAAGCAGTTGTGATCCACCTGCGTACCACTCTGCCTTTTTTGAAAGTAGAACTGTTGTATAGTGCAGCGGAAGAGCCACGGAGTCCCCTGCATTCCACTATATCGCTGCTGGTGTGACCTGTACCTCTGTTTCTTGGTGTTGGGGACACCAGTGCTTTATTACGTAGCGGCCCGTGCGTGAGCTGTTCTCTGATTCTTCCAATTTTTTCCTAAACTGAGTATCGTAGTATCTGGAGCTTTGTGTAGCATCTCATTGTAGCCTTGCGGTCGCACGGTTTGAGGAAAACCAGTGTGCAGTAGCTTCACTCAAGTTGCCCATAGTGCTTGCTTTCGCTCATCGAGCGTGCGAGACAAATACTGATAGTCTGCGATCCACTAGAACCCTTAAGTTGCGTTTTGGCAGTAATTCGTTGTGGCTTACACTCTTCACCCTCTCGGCCGGGTACTCCTCTTCCCGGTTGTAGCTGGTAGGTAACTCCACCCTAGGAAACGACTCCCAGCATTTCTCAAGTTGCTTATGTGATGCACATAGCTTGGTATCAAAGACTCCGTATAGCACTTAATTAGGTCCTACTGACGATATGTCTATTCATAAGATAGCAAACTTTTATTAGATAGTCAGAAATACTTCCGTCTCTATGCGTTTTCCTGTCTGGGGTGAAGAGGGCAGCACGAGCATAACTTGCTACGATTGTGTGCAACACGGTAGATGTCTTCGGCTTCGTCTAGTCGCGGAAATCATCCCTTTTGAAACACACCCTAAAACAACTTTAATTAATGCAAAAACTATGCCTTTACTTTTACTTTGTAATACACTGCATAGCACATTTCGCCTTTGCGTGCCACAGCTTTACCAATAGCCCGTTAATCCACTAGAGTTGAATGCGAACTGTTGAGCACAAATTCGGCTGGAACCGTTAAACAACTGACTCATGCTATACAGACGTGCACAGCCTTTCACGTAAAAGCATTGAAGCTCATCTGCACGAACTGCCACCTCAGGAGAATGCCTGTTGCAGAATATAAGAATTTGAACACTCACCCCACTGGTTACTGCTAAGCAACGGCGAATCCAAGTTCAAAACAACGATTTGAATGTAAAAGACGCCATTCCCTACTTCTAGTGCGTATTCTACCTTCTTTGCATGAATCTCAGCCACCGTGTAGTGCCTTGCAAGACACAAGGAGCTGACGTGCAAGGGATGGCAGTGGGCCTCAAATGGCCCGCTTTTGAATTATTTTTGCAAATTGGAGATAAACGAAAAGGTTCCTCGGGCAGAATACGCTTGAAGTGGTGCCCTTGCCTTCTTCAGTTGTGGCGGTGCGCCGTCGCTTCCCCATCCAGCAACAGCGGCCAAACCCTATTTCAATATTCTATTAAACGAGCCCGCAGCGCATCACTATCGTTGAAGAGCAGTTTTTTGCCGTATTCTGTCTGATCCGGAGAGCGCGCTGCAGCTACTGCTGCTATCTGCAAATTCCTTCCCGCCGAGCCCCCAGGAGAGAGAACTTGGACTTGGAGACCTTTCCAGCAATCGATTCGATGCAGCCTAGCGGCTGCGGCAGCCATGGCGGATATTACCCGCCGCCGTCTTTGGCCTACATGCAACCCCACGGCTTCAACAGCACGACCCCGCAGACGGCGCATGATCCCCAGAGTGAGCCGAGTGTGCAGACATGTGTGAGGGACTCGGTGCGGTTGCTGGGAGAAGCAGTGGCTGTGCTGGAAGGGGTGCGGTTGCTGGGATCGCAGCTGCTGCAGTGGGGTGGTGAATTGAGCCATGTGGCTCAATCAGTGGTTCCCGCCGCGCTAATTTTGCAAATGTGTAGATGGATGTACACCCGAACATTCGGGGCCTCCAAACGTCAAACGCTCAATCGCATGCACAAGGCCTGGCAAGAGGCAAGCGGCGACCCTAGGCTCATGCTTCCAACCAGCAATGGCAGCAGCAGTATCGGGGGGTTGCTTGGTGCAAAAGCGAGCGGCAAGAAGCGAGGCAGCTGGATTTCCACACTGCGCGATCTTTCGGCGCTGATGGCTCTCATTGTTGTTGCTGCAGAGCTTTACATACATTTCAGCGTATACAGGTAAGCTCAGTTCAGTGGCAGCTGGTGTTAGTTGTTGGGTGTGCAAAGGCAACAGAAAGGGCTGGCTTGAACAAGGGCTGCGTCTGCTGCTCTACTTATGCTTTACCCAGGCGGCTAGTGAGCCGACTGCGGGTGCTGACGGCGAAAGAAAGAGGACTTGCGGGCCCCTCCGTAGAGGTCAGCAGCAGCAACGGCAGCAGCAACAGCTTCGTGTGCAAAAGCTGACGATGGCAGAAGCTGCAAAGGCTTTCATACTTAGTCGCAGCAAATGTGACTGCAAGCGCAATCAGTTGCTGCAGCACGAGGCTCAGGAAAATCAGCATAGCAGTGGTCGCTGCGTGTGCCACACAGCGCCAAACGAATACTACTTCAGCTGTTGCAGTAAATGTAGCTGCAGGTGCAGAAGCGGTGCCTACAGCAGGAGTATCGGCCGCAGCAGTGTATAACGTACTCCCAGAGACAGCACCTGAAGTGGCAGCGGGAGCACCATCCAGTGCAGAGTGCATTTCATCGTTGTTCTTATTTTGGAGATGGACGTGCTGCTTATACCGCACGTTTAAGCAGGTGAGATGTAGGGGCAGTTACACGAGCAGGTGCCGTTCCAGCGCGGTCCCCGTATTACTATATTCCGAGGAGCAGCAGCTCCGGAACACCCCCAGACTGAAGTGCACACTCGTTCCAGGCTGCTGCTGCCTTTTGCACAAGGCCACAGTGGCGGCAGTAGTGGCCTGCTGCAGCTGCGTTCAGATGGAGCGCAGCCACTTTGGTGTTGCCGCCGCTGCTGCCACCGGCGCAGCAGAACTTGAGCCGTCTACTCACAGCTCGTTAATTTCCTTTTTAACTCATGCTGAATTGGCTCATATGGATGTGCATTCAGTGATCTTTGTTGGGGGAGTTTGCTTCTCGTGGATGTAGTGTGTAGTCGTTTCCCCTGTGACAGCTTTGCACTTTTCGGTCTACCTGCCAAGCAGCGTATATCCAGTCCACAGAGATGTAGCTTTTATTCAAATGCTTATTTCAATCAACCGTATCTGTGGTAGGTCCGAAATTTAGCTGTCCTATCCTTGGTGCGCTCTCTCGGGCGCTTGGGTTTGCACCCCCCAGTGTCTGTAAACCTGTTACGCACATCATCGTTGCATACAGAAGACGCTGCAGAAGAGCTAGTGCACTGCTGCGCGTTCGAGATATGGGCGCAAATAAACCAAGAGGACAGCAAAGGTCAGTCCTGCTTCATCAGCTCCCGCACCCTAGCTAGCAGCGTTTCGGTGTCAGTACACACGAGATACCCCTGCTGCAGCATGGTGTCTAGCAGCAACAGCGCAGGCTCTATGTGCAGCGACAGCTGCGTCTCGAGCACGGCACTCCCCGCAGCAGCAGGGACCCCCAGCAACTGCTGAAGCACTCCCACCCACAAGTCTATCAGTTCCCCAATGACAAGTGGCGTCTCTTCAGCGTTTATGCCGGCAGCGCAATACAAAGGGCCATGCTGTCTGAACACTGCCCGGCTGCTGCTGCTGTCGCTTTCCCTGCTGCTGTGGAGAGGAGGGAACATTAAAACGCGTGATGTTTCATTCTCCCTCGAACTCTCCCGAGCAGCACCGTTGCTGCTGTCTGCTGCTTCTGGGCGGGGAAGCAGCAGCTGCTGCTTCACCTGTAGAAGCACCCACGTCTGCTCCTCCTCTGTGAACGGGGCGTACCAACGACATAGCTTCTGTGTTCCGTTTTGACTGACAACTAACCAGAACAGGATCATGCTGCAGCTGCTCTTGCCTTTACTGATCCTCCTCCTCCTGCTGATTCTGCAGCTGCCAGTGTGGCTACTGTCGGTGCTCCGGTTTTCGGTGTAGCGGAGGCTTAAGCTGCTGCAGCTGCAGTTGATGCTTCCAGTATTGTAGCAGTAGCCGGAGGCGCGGCTACTGCTGCCGGTGTTCGTTCTGCCGCTCCCGTTGTTTTTGAAATCGAATCGCGAAGCGCTGCTCTTTTGATATGCTGCGATATCTGGCCCATGGACTTCCTGCGCATCCAAGCTGTGCAGCCGACTAGGGGCTTCAGACAATAGCGCCGTCACAACGGCCGCCACGAGAGAGAAACCAAATTTTCCGAGTCAGGGTACCCGGGAAAAGATTTAGCTAAACATATTACGGAAAGAAATAGTGCAAAGAGACGCACTACTGGCTGTGCTTGAGCGGCGGGTCCCTTCGTGGTCTGCTGAACAGACTTGACAGTAGCGGAGAGGGAGAGAGACTTGAAGTGACGAAGCAGCATCTTTATACATTTGCATGAAATAAAACAAATCGCTGTATTGAATTTAATTTGTCTCAATTATAGTTCCTTAGCTGTACCATTTAGCCACATTGACTGCTGCTGTTGCTGAGTGGCCTCATTGTTGCCCGCTGCGAACTGCCATAGGCAGCGTAAGAAGGTAGAACAAACAACTCAACTAACTGGCAGGCAAAATAAATATGCAGGGTCAGCAAAGGCTATTACCCTTCAGACGAAGCCTGCTTCCAATAGGGGTGCGTTCAAAAAGAGTTGCATCTTGCTTCTTCTTTTCCAACAATGTAGCGCTAGTATAAAAGCAGAGCTAGAATAGAGGCTTTGAAAGTTACATGCAGTTTGCTGAGGTATAGAGGGCTACAGACACCCCAGGTGGCAGTGCGTGAAAACGCAAGCAAGAAACAGCGGCAGAGACATTAAGCGTTTCTTCTCTGGAGTCTCCCTACTGTCGCGCTTAAAAAGACATCTAACACGTTTTATGCAATTATTTGGGCTTAATTTCTGGTGGTTTTTGAGTCATTCCCCCTTCTGAAACTTGCATATAGTTGCGTGCTCCAAGCCTTTGTGTTGAAAACTTGTGCTCATATCTCTAGTGACTAGAACACAAAGGAACCACAAACTTTGCAAAGCACAGCAGACGGAGGCAGAGAAGCACAACAACAGTGAACAGCGAAAGTAATTAACCTGGGAAATCGCTTAATCGTGTAGTAGCACATATGTGATAAAATGTGTGTTCGAGTATGTTAGTAATACAGCTAAACCTTGTATATCTATTCATACTGTGTACAGTTTCACACGTACACGCTGAGGAGGCGCAGATTCATTGTTTTGCACCGTAACGCACATCAAATGTTTAATATAATACGAAACCATGCATTAGGTATTAACTAGTTGCTACGGACAAACATACATTAAAACAAATAAACAGCTCTTTAGTGAGACGACTGCCACTTGTTTAGAGCTGCTAGCTCTATGACAACGTTGCTAAAGCTACTGATCATGCGCTTCTTTTCCAGATTAGCACTGCAGTTCAGGTTTCGGCCAAAAGGTCTCAGAAAGATAGTAGATGTAGACTGCACTATCCACTCACCTCAGATGCCACTGCGTGTGGAAAGTCATTTGATGCAATTTCTCAGGTTTCATGGTCAGCTTCGCTGGCCTGCTTCAGCCATAGTGCGTGCGAATTCATACATGTATAAAACGTGTCGATTAGTTAACATGCATGCTACCTATATCTAATATGTATATGCTTCGTGAAGGCATATAGTACATATAAATTTGGTACTATGCGCGTATGTACTAGAAAAGAAAAATGTATGCCCCTACAGCGGCACTGCAGTAATTTGGATAGCCGGCAACAGCCGTGGCCCTACGCATTAATCCATTCGCTCAAGAACTCGAAAATGCACTTTCTTCAATTTAATCTGAATACACTTTTTTTTCTGTTTAGTCGTTCTTTCTCAAGTAGTGCAACGCACCTCCACGGCAGCAGGAAGCGGCAACTGCGGTGTGCCTGAGCCACTCCTTCGCAGCATTCGGGCGTTGCAAACACGGTTGGGAGTCATCTAAAAGATGAGACGTGAATTGTAAAACTCAAGAGCTAAAAGGTTCACTCTGCCCTGCAGTTCTGTGCGCCTGAGCCACTCTTTAGTAGCGTTCAGCCACTACAAGGACGGTGTGGAACCTTGAAGACGAAGGCCTCAACTCTTTACCATAAGCTCTCAAGAAACCACAAAAGGAAACGAAAGACTCTGGTGCACATCCAGTGGCTCAAAATGCTTACGTCTGCTAAATCCCATAGTAGTAAGGTTCGTGGCTTGCCACGAATTATGCCTTGGTAGTATGTTGTCTCGAAAAACTAATCTTCGTTTCTCTTTTCGTTCCCCCGTACATTATGCAGGTCCGTAATGTCGCTTGCAGGTTGGTACTTCTATTTAAATAGCAAAGGAGCAACAAGGGTCCAGAAAACTGGTCGATTTATGTGGTCCACTCCGCTTCTGCCGCCTCAGCAGTTTTTCGTTCATTCTCAGCCACTTGTCGTTTTGTTGGAAAATTTTGAATGTTAAGCAACTCAAAAAGTTGGATATTTCTCCTATACAGAAGAGTTCAGGGGATAAAGAGAAAAGTACTTCTCGAGCAGTAATAGCACTAGTGACAGAAGGTTGTACTGCACTGCTCAACTGACGACACTGCAAGGACGAACACGGAAAACGCTGCGCTAAATTACCAGCCGTAGCCAACTTTGAAGTAAATGCAAGACGACAAAAGGTAATTGGCGTAACTTATCAAACAGTTAAACTAGTAGCATCTAGTACCCAACGTGGCCGCAATGGGTCTTCTCTCCAACTTCGATTGCGCTCTTCACCGTCGCCAGCGCAGCACCGTCTCAGCTTGCTTGCCTCGAGTGAAGATGCCCATTCACGAATTGAAATAAATTTCAACTATTCATGCAAATGTGGAGGAGAAATGCGTTAGAAGATAATTATGAGTAGTCCACCGGATGAACAGAGCCCGCACTGTTTCCGAAAATGGCACAGGTAGCGAACACACCTGGGGCAAACGCCGCATACTCTGCCCAAGAAAAGCAGGAAAAAAACACTGAAAATTTCTCCGTTGGTGGCGTAAATTCTCCAGTGCAGCAAACCCTGACAAAGAGCGGTGAGCCGGCGGAAGTCCGCCAGCTGGCGAGCGGCTCCTCAGCAGCTGCAGCCACGGGAGCAGCAGCAGCAGCTGCAGCAGCAGATAAAGCAGCAGAAGGAGCTGCTTCTGGAGCGGCAGAGGGAGCAGCTGCAGCAGCGGCAGATGCAGCAGCAACAGGAGCAGCACAAGGAGCAGCTGCTGCTGCTGCTGCAGCGGCCGACGTAGCAGCAAGCGGGCCAGCAGGAACAACCACAGATGCATCAGAGGAGGTGAGAGCAGATGCCGCCGCAGCAGCAGCAGAGGCTGCCGCCGAAATAGCAGCGGAAAACGCCGCTGCTGGAGCAGCAAGAGGCGCTGTTGAGGGCGCAATGGAAGGCGCTACCGCGGGCGCGCCGTTAGCAGCAGCAGCCGCAGCAGCAGCAGCAGATGCAGCAGCAGATGAAGCAGCAGCTAAACGCAGCAGTGTTGATGTGCGCATACCCTACGAACGGCCACGCAGTCGGAAGTTGAATAGGACTTCAAGCTACCAGTGTCACGTGGACATGGCGGGCTGGCTGCAGGCTTTCCCACACATGACACTTTCAGACTTAGGCCCTGGATTTGCTGCGGACAGCTTCTGCAACGGCCAGGGCCTGAGGCTTGCTACATACGCTTGGCGGCAGACTAGGAAGGCCCCCAAAGCAGCTGTGGTGCTGTTTCACTCTTACACGTCTTATGCACTGTTTGATTTCCTAAGGCACCAGCCGCCAGAGGGAGACAAGTTAGAGGACGCTAAACAAGAAGAAGAGAATTGGGTGCCCAAATTTCATGGTAAGGCTCAAAACCTTCAGTGAGCCGGCAAGATGTACGCGGCGCACGAGCGCTCTCATTGGTCGTATAGTCTTTGCCTCATCTTTCCCATCGCGTACACATCCATCTGCTTTACTAAAAATATGTCGGCTTACTGTTAAGTGCATTGTTTCATTATTGTGTGCTTACGTGCTCGCCTGCAGGCAGCTGGATAGAGGCCTTCTACCAGCTGGGGATGAATGTTTATGCAATGGACCACCAGTCCCACGGCCGCTCTGAGGGCTGGCGGCAATGGAGGTGCAACGTTTCAAAGTTCGATTATTTGGTAGACGACGGAATCCAGTTTCTGTCGGAGACGGTTTGCGGGGATCCCCAGCTGCCCGAAGATGTGCCCATTGTTTTGGTGGGTTACTCTATGGGAGGCAATGTTGTAATTCAGTGCTTGGGGCGCATATACACCTGCGAAAAACTGCTGGCCATAAAGAGTAGAGTCACTCAAGCTGTACTTTTGGCCCCGCTCATCAAGATCAAGCTCGACTGGAAAACTAAGCTGATGCTCATGATCAATCGATCTCTTATCTCTTGCTGGCTCCCAAATTTGAGATTCTCAAGGGCAGAAAACAGCGGAGACTGCCCATTTCTGGGCTGGTGGTATGACAAGGATCCATTCACGTACTCAGGTGAGGTTGGAAAATTCCAACGCTGCAGCTGTGGTGTGCGCGCACATTGCGCAGCGCCTGCAGCAGGAAGTGAAGCAGAGGCCCGAGGAAGTAGTACTCACAACCCCCCACGTAAAGGCATGAAAATAAGGTTGTTTGTCACGACTTCTTATGAATGATTTTACGTCATTAGTATCGACCTTGCTGCTCTCCTAATTCACAGGCCGGACAAAGTCACGGATGGTAGCGGCTCTGTTCGATGCGTCTCGGAAGCTGCCCCGCATTTTGCGTGGCTTTCCACCACAGCTAAAACTGCTGTGTCTTCAGGGCACCCACGACCAGACTGTCGACTTCCACGCGCCCCTTAAACTGTACGAAAGCCCGGTCAAACTCGACCTGCTGTACCTGTGCGGCTGGAGCCACTACATTCCCAAACAGTCAGGCGCAGACAGACTTATAGACCTCGTCACCACTTGGATGGTCAAGACGCTCGGGGGCAAAGTTGTGAGATAAATTCCTCACGCTTCGCACTGCCTCTCTAGCTCTAACAGAAACCAAAAATAGAGTAATGTGTGCCTGTCCGTATGCGAATCAACTTGCACGTGCGCTTCTGCGTTTCTGTGTTCACAAACTCTCGTTTTCATGCATGTGCATATGCTATAAGTATGTTTTTCTTTTTTTATAACCCTTGATCACCATCTATGTTGCGTCTCTGTTTGAGACTTGTTTCGATGGACGCGATTTAGGAAAAGCGCACCGTAGATGAACAAAACTCAACCTGAATACCTTCATTCAAAAGCAGCAAGCTTGCAAGTTCCTGCTTATAAAACGCGTCTCCCTTAAGCCTGTGTTTTGGTTGTGCTGACTCAGCATCCCCTGTCGCCGCATGCTAAGCTCTTCTCTCTTACTAAAAGCGCAACGGCAGAACTGGCAGCTTCCTAAAGCTGCAAGGAAGAGAATTTGAGGAAGGCTTGGCGAAAGTGTCGGGCGACACTGCAACCGCACACTTACCTGATTGCACGTAGAAGCATCTGTATATATGCATAAAGATAGATTTAAAATATCTATATATATATAGATATATTATGTATAAATATTATTTAGATTTTTTGTAGACATTGGCATTGTAGCGTATGTGTATAAATGGACTTGCCTGTATTGATACTGATAGGAATGCATGTAGATGTATTTAATATATGTGTATGTATGTGTATAAACAAGAACATTTATGTATACATATCTGTACGCATCCTACTGCGTGCATACTCATTGCAGGATTGCGTGCTGTCTCCATAAACTTTAGACTGGTAATTTAAACGGTAGCAAAGCCAATTGGTAATAAACCAAGTGGTATGCTGCAGCTGCTGCAGCTGTTGCTGCTCGTAAAGTACTAGCGTTTATACATTATGATAAGAGCAACCATATTGCATTCTGGTCTGCGGCTTCTTCTTTTCCTGGGAAATGGAGTGCCTCTACATATCGTCTGTACTCACATAGCCTCAACAGTTGTGGGATCATCCTCACGTGCGATTTCAGTAAATTCAAGTAGAGTAAAGAGAGTATAGTCTTAGGATTGTGCCTGCAATTGGAGCTTGTGGTGTTCAGACACCGCAGCAGTCTGCTGCGACGACAGTACTATAGTCGATGCTTATCTTGTTTCTTTTTAATTTCATTAACATTTTTGTTCTAGTGTATGCCCTTGCTGCACTTGGTCGTTGCACTCTCCTCACTTCGAAAGGATGCTGCTGTTCATCTGAGGCGCAAAGAGAAGAAATGAAGTACATATTTTAGGATCTCAGACTTGACATAGTGTTCAGGTTTTATAGTTGGTTGTAGAGGGTGTGTTCGCACTTGGAGGTGTTCATTTGATTCACCTCCACGCTGGCTTTGAGCACTGCAGCCAACTCAACCATGACCTGAAATAAAACAAATACTAAAATTTCATATTGGCAGTGTTTGTTGGCATAGCGTATACGTATCTTTCATGCGCGTCGCCGCGCTTTTGCAACAGCTGCAGATTCCACCATAAAAGCAAACAGACACTTCAGACGAACGCATAACGCCCACTTGCACTTTTTAGGTCTGCTTGCAAAGCCTGTCCGCTGCCGCATTAGAGCCTAGGATCCTCAGTTCGAGGTATCGCTGCTGGTGAATCAAGTGAACTTCACCTTTTTGAACTGTGCCAAAAGCCCAGTGGCGAACGCGTGGGCTCTCTGCTGACACTGCTTGATTTCCGTCCTCAGCCTTTTATTTTGTTGCATAATTTCGATGAGACATGAGCTTAACTCGTCTGCTTTTCCCTGAGGTGCTCTAGTAGCATTAACACAAATATACATATCAGATGTACACGCGCTGCTGCCGCTGCCTGTGATGCTTATGGTGGTGGTGACTGCACGATAACTGGTAGTCTTGCTGCTACTGCTGCTGTGGCAGTTGTTTAGAGCGACGGCGACTTCTGCTGTGCTGCTGGTGGCGGTGGTCCAGTTGATGTTATTGCTGCTGTTGTTGCTGTTTCCTCCACTATTGCTACTCTTTCTGCGCACTACTGGTGCTAGGCAGTAGCTGCGTGCATGCATTGAGCTGTGTGCACACCAGGTGTGGCAACGAGGGAACTTACTTCTCACCGAACCTCGACGAAGAATGTGCACTGGACGTTTCTGCGAAAAGCAGGATATTGTCAATTGAGCGAAGCTTACATGCTGTTTTTCATTTGCTCGTTTTTTAGCAAGACTTGTTTGGTACCTCACTGTTCCCTATCTTTATCAGTTGATGGATTCATTGTCGTCCTACTTCAGTGCTTACGGGCGCAAGCTGTTTAAATGTCATAGACTACTAACTTTTGTGCTAAGCTTGCTTTATTGGGTATTTTGCATTGATGTTCTCGACAGTCTATCATTCACTTTTTCCATTTGCTGCTATTTCGCTCCATAGTTTTAATGACTGTGTAGTTGATCGTCCTAATTTTTAAATTGAGTTTACTGTACCATTGCATATCTTGCGTTTTCCGGTTGTTGGTCCTGTCGGCAGCCCGCAACAGAGGATGGATTGGCTTCTGTCGCGTGTACTATTTAGAACTTGCTGCGTGCATTTGTATTCTTCTCTGTTTTCTTCGTTTGCCACTTCGAAGGAAGACCAAACGCTACTGCTCAGCTCGTCCTTAGGCGTATGTTCCCCTCCAACTCCCTGTATTAATCTAGAACCAAACGAAGAGGAGCCAAAATTGTAAAAATCATCAGAAAAGCCGGAGTTGCCACTGTCGTCACTTCTTGAGGTGTACATCACGCCTGTATGGAGGCTTCCAGCCACTCCGTTTGACTCTAGGCAGTCATAATCGCTTTTAGTACTGGTTCCTATGTGGCCTTCGCCTTCCCTCCCGAAAATGCTATCGCACGAGGTAAAGCAGTCCGGGCGGGTCCAGGAAGAAGTCAAATCAGATATCATCCAGCACAGATCACCGCTGTCAGCGACAGCAGCAGTTGACATAGGTGCTGCTGCTGCTGTTGTCACTGCTACGTCTGATGCCGCTGGCGCTATTGGTGATGGTGCAGCAGCTGCTGCTACCACTCCCGGTGTTGGTGTCATTGTTGCTGCAACAGAAGTAGCAGCTCCACCTGTTTCTGATGCTTGTGTTGTTACTGTTGGTGCGAAATACAAGCTGCTGTGTAGATTATGTGGTACGTCTGTTGCGCTTATCAGGCGTTCGTTTGTGGCCTCTCCTGGGAAGATGACTTCGGCCGCTGCACTTGCGGCTGCTATGTCTGCTGTCCCTGCAGTTGCTGCTGCTGCTGCTGCTGCTACTGCTGCTGTGTTTCTCCTCTTGGCTACGCGTTGTCTGCTGGGCGAGAAAGGCGTGGGGGTTCCGACGGGCTTGTGGCAGCTGATGCTTTGCGTAGTTGTTTGCGTTTCAGTAATTGTACTCGGCCCTATTTTTGCAACTTGCTCCTTTGGTTTACTCTCTTCGTTTTGTTGGTCCAGTGATGATACAGAAGCAAAACGACTCACGGAAGCTGCTCTGTATTTATTCATTTTTTTCTGACAAACGAAACGGGGGACACAGCTGCGCTCGACCTCATACTGGTAGGCGATTTGCAGTGTCTGCATAAGAGCAAAAACGAACAGTTTGTTCTTGATTTATCTGCCTATTAATCTGTTCAGCAGTTGTCTGGTTTGCTCGTCATGCTGCGCACTGTCGAATGAGTGTTAGAACTAGCAGGAATGCATCTGTTTACTTTCAATTATTTACTAGCTGCAAGCCTATTTATGTGTAATCGTTTCTGCTCCTGTATCTGTCTGTTTGACTGATCGGGAGAAAAAAGATATGGGCAACAAAAAAAGACAAGCCCAACAAAAGCAAACGGGGAATGCAAATGGAGTGGCCAAAGGACAACTGAAGAGGCAGGCCGTGACCCAGTCCGAATGAGTATTCACCACACCCTAGAAAACCGAAGCACTAAAACGGCAAACGAGCGAATTAGACATCAATATATGCGTCATTTTATTAGGAAAATTAATATAGGAAAATTAACATAGTTAAATTTTAAATGTTCAGGGAAAACTAACGAATAATCTGGCAGGCAGAAACGCCACACGGTGAAGAACGGCAAAGCCAACCAAGTTAATATCCCAGCCAACGAAAAACAATAATGAAGACAAATGAGCAAAACAAAAAATACGTTAAAAGCAAATCAGCAAACGAATCAGCAAAGCTTGCCACGGGAACCACACAGAGCAACGAAACCCAAAGCGAAAAGGCACACTCGTGAAAAAAAAAGGCAGCCAAACAGGAGAGGAAAAGCTACCAAGAAACGCACAGAAGTGAAATAAACAATAAAGCAAGCCCAGCAAGTAACTGAACGTCAACTGAACGGAAAACCAGAAAAACGAAAAGGGAGAATTCAAGAGGCAAAACGAACAAAATAAGAGCAGGAGCACAACGCTTGCCTTCTTAAGCACCCCCACAATCTCCGAAATGACAACTAGCTGCTCCACCGTTGCTGTTTTCAGCTTCGAAATGCTATTTGTCTTGTTTTTTAACTTCGGGTTCATATTCAATTGCTCGCTTATCTCTTTCTTTAAATCCCCGCGGCCGCTCTCCCCCAGCTGCACTCGCCACACTGATGTTATCAGGGGACCAACTGAGACACAAAGCAAATGAACGAAAGGAAAAAGTAGATAAATAGATGGCCTGCTCGATGGGGAGTCCGCTTGTCTATTTGCCTGGCCGTTTATCGTTCTGCGCGAGGGAAATTACATGGCAGAAGAAACACCCCGAGGCATTTAGCTTGCTTTTTCCCGATTCGTTAAACAAATAATTAGTCTTTTTATCGATTGCCCGTTCAGCAAGGCTTGATGAGTGGCGAAACTAGAAACTTTTACCGTTCCCTGAGTTAGATAAGATGGTTTGGAGGCAAGCCAGATGCGGAACAAATTTAGTAATTTGTCCAGTGATTAGTTGGTTAAAATTCAACTAGCTATTCAATTGATCAACCTGTTACGGACACGGGGGATAAGCGTGTATCTCTCCGGAGAGAAGGGCCTTCGCTTTCTCTTTGTTTTTGGCTGGTAGAAATTTCAAGTAAAATGTTAATTCGTTGAAGTTCAAGGCCGCGTCAGTTGCTGCTGAAGCGGCTGCAGGTGCTGCTGTTGCTACTGGCGGGGGCGGCGGTGCTGCTACTGCTGTTGGTATTGTCATACTTGGTGCTGCTGCTGCTGCGTCTAGACAGTTTCGGTCCTCAACAAATACTTGAGACAAAGCTCCCTCCTCGGCAGCAGCAGCAGGAGCAACAACAGCAGTAGTAGGAGCAAAAGCAGCAGCAGCAGAAGGTAGGTATAGGCTAGAGGGCGTGGAAGGAATTGTGTGAGGCACAGCAAAAGAGACGCAGCTAGTATTCCTTTCCTGCCCTTGTGGTAACTCTCCCTTGCCTACGCAGGCCCTAAACCAATCAAGCGCTGCTCTAGATAGCTCCGTTGTTGCTGCTGCTGCTGCTGATGCTGTCGGTGGTGCTGCTGCGCGTACTGCTGCTGGCGCCGTTAGGCACGCTGCGGGTGGTGCTGCTGTGCATGGTACCGCTGCAGGTGTTGCTGCTTGCGCTGCTATTCCAGAGGCTGACATAGGCGCTATTGCAGCAACTCCTATTGTTTCACCAACTTCTGTTGCTGTTGCCAGAGTTCCTGTTGCTGCTGTTTCTGCTGCTGCAGCTGCTCGCTCATTTTCTGTTCGCAAGAGTATGAGGCCATCTCCTGCTGCTTGTTCCATTGTGTGATATTGGACTGTTTTTGGCTAACTTCAACTCTTGTCCTTTAGTAACTGTCTTTTTTCTTTATTTTACATGCCTTCAACCTCGTCTGGAAGCAGACAGAGACAGCTCTGTCTGCATTCATCTGCTATGCAGCTGACAAATGAGCAAACTATTACTGGTATTTGTTCTCCTTTGATCCCGCTTTTTTTATGGCAGTATATTTCTGTTCCTTTCTGCCTCTTTTTACAGCGCGTATCCTCGTCTCAATTTTATTTTTATGTAGTTGTTTCCTGCCGTATTTTGCTGGGCGTGTATCTGGGATTTGGATTCCTTGTTCGTTGCTCTCTGCCTTAGTTACTTCCTTTGTCCGTGTTTTGCTCCCTTACGGCATGTACTCAATATTTTTATTTAATCGTCAAATTGGCGGTTCTTGTTTTGCGCTTTTGTGAATGGCATGAGTAGCAGCGCATCTACCAGGTCAGAACAAAGTCAACTCTTACTCTCTCCTTCTAAAATACTAAATAATATAAAAAGAGTAAGGACAAAAATAAAGAAAGTTTGAAGAAAGTGAAATTAATAATCCATTCAATGAAGCCGCTCCCTAGAAGTGACCGTTCGGGATGAGGTGTATGCACACACATATGAGGTCTGATGGGATACATGAATCAACGTGATTATATATTTTCAAATTTATAATGATTAATCTAAATTAAAAATTTTTGTATTTCAGCTTATTATGCGAAAAACATATACCAAAATTGGCTGCAGCGCGACAGCCAGCCGTGCAGCGCAAATCCACGGTCACCGAGTGAGACTAGCGGAGAAAGAGATCGATCAACGTTGAAAAGAATACATTACAAAATGCAAAATTATAAAGTTTTTAAAAACTGGTCCTCAGAGGAATTGGGGAATGTTTCAGTGCGTTACCTTTCCTTCCACCGGTGTGCAGCCTCATATATGCGCTTCCCTGCTTGATCTATTTCATTCAATCTGAAGTGGTTTCATCTTCTCCGATGGCCTTAAATCTTAAAAAAAAATTTGTTTTGAGCTAAGCATAATTATTTATTGGGGGATTTCGACCAGGACGAAATGCTGACCGACGCAGTGTCCGGGCTGGTCCTGCTGGGTAGACAAATCCTGCATGAGGCGCATACAAACGATTAAGCGAGCAGCGCAGGTATATGTATAATAGTCGGTGTAACTGTAGCTGCTAAAACACACCTATAATCGAAGCAACGCCGAAGAACAACGCAGAAACGGTCAAAAACTTGCCGAGCCACTTAAATTAACGGCAGTTCAACTGATGCAAAACAATAATTACTACTTGTTTCTTGGGTTGAGTTTATTGTCAATAGCTACATTGAATTAAATGGGAAGATAGCTAGATATTCTCTGCTGAATCGTCTTTTCGTATGATCCTGTTATGTTTCATGTTGTAAGTAGGGTGTAAGTAGGGAACACTCGTTGCACTTTCGCCTGAATTATATAAAGAAAGAGACATTAAAATGCTTATGCCTACGCACGCACATGAGCCTTCATACAAACAGGTATAGGCCTGAAACTTGTGTGTCTTATCTGTAACGCATACAGAAACGTAAGGTATCCACATAAAATTTCATACATAGCGTAAATATTGTGTTTGATTACGTAATATACCCAGCGTATATTCGCTTCCTGGAGCCATCGAATTGGTCTTACTCCACGTTCATACTGAGCCGCAGGCATGTAGCCACCTGAAGGCACAGGTGGAGAGACATGAAGCTTCAAGTAAGTTCCCCGTCCACCCACTTCCGTAGGAGCTGGACCCTCGTGTAACGTTTCTTTGAGGCTTGATTGATGTTTTATGCGCATCTTTGCCACAGAATCGTATAGCACGCATGCATGTTGTTTTATCAGTATGCATAAACACATCCATTTGTGTCTCAGATTCAAATGAGATGAGTGCCATTCGGTCAGATGGCAGCACGCTCTCTTTGAACGGCTCCAGTGACTCTCCTCAGAGCCTACAGCAGCAAGTTCTGATCCCCAAACCGTAATTTCCAAATCATAAATCCTTTGCACTGAGCCCTAGGGCGTTCACACAGCTGTGGATTTCATGAAGCATGCTTTCGTCCATCCTCCACACACTAGGAAACAAAGCTGCCGATAGTTTTGAGGCACGCTTAACTTTAAACTCCCTTGAACATAGCCTGTTACTTCAGTCGAAACCATAAACACTCATTCCAAATCCTGGAGTTCGCTAGTGGCAATACGCGTGCAGGCTGGGGGCTCAGGGGCTGTAACTTTGAGGGTTTGCTGCTTCCAGTTTACGAATTCAGGCCTTAGAATTGAGCGCTGATGCTATAAAGTCCAAGCTCTCGGGTCTGTATGAGGCTCTAGAGGAGAGCGTGATAGTGACCATGGCAACTACACGCAAAAAATGATGCAAACCCAGGTGGAACAGACAACGGGAAGCTCTAGATGTTCAGCAGCCCAAAGCCTTTAGGAAGCAATTATTTATAACCAATTCATTAAAATAAATCAGTTTGAGTGAAAAACATTGATTCAAGTGCGGTGAAGCAAATAAAAACGTTGCGGTTTGCACGTGAGTCCAGCGTGACAGTCGTCCGCCAGTCCACAGGCCACCCCTAACAAATCGGCTCTTCAAAGGCTGGTGAAATTAAGGCTAATATTCGGGTCCGCAGACCTACTTTTCAGGTTTTTGTATATCAAGGTGATCGTTAAATGCGATCAAAACATATATTTTGATGACCAGCGGCACTTTGTGGTCAGCAAGACCGTTTCCCTCCACTTGCCGCAAACGTTTACGACTCGAGGCGGCAGCATGAATTGAGTGTGTGCAGCGGAAAGAGTTCCTTCTTTTGAGCGTATCAGGTGTAAACTGATGCAACTAACTCATTATTTCCTTCTGTATGAGTGGAATTTTTAAATTTGAAGCCCTTTCCAGGCATTCGAGGCGAATTCGACCGTCTGGCGAGTCCTTTGGCAGCCGCCGCCAGCCGTAGCCACCGGATCACCATCGCGAGTGCGTGTTGGGGTTTGTTTCCCTTGCTGGTTTTCCACATTTGTTCCACCGGTTTACTTCACTAAAGTGCAATTCAGTCTGGAGCCAAGGCTGGTATGCTCTTTTTTCCTTTTTCCCCAGTTTTCCACCACCCGTCCTCGTTTCCGCGGTAGTTGGTTCGCCCAGCAGCTGCTGCTGGTCGCTCACTCCGCTTCTTTTGTGCCCCGGAGCTCGTCACTCCTCTTCATTGCATGCACCATGGGGCTGTGCAGCAAAAACAAAGGCCGCACCCCAGCCCGCCGCAATAAGGCGGTGGATATCGAGCCCACGGCGGCATCCCCAGTGGAACCCGTGAAGGAAGCAGCGGAGACGGAAGCGGCAGCAGCAGAAATAGAGGAGGCCAGAGTCTCCTCCGGCAGCCTAAACGAGAGAAATACTCAAGAGGCAGAGCCAGCACTTCCCGAAACACCCGCAGCAGCAGTGACAGCTGCAGTGGCAGCAATAGAAGAAGCCGCAGCTGCAGAATCAAATGAAGACTCAGCAATCGAGACAAAACAAACTCCGGATATTGTTGGTGTCGTTCTGATCCACGGAAATGCACCACCGACAAGACACGACTCCACTGCCACCTCCTGTGCAGGAATGACAGATGCGGAGGCCCTCAGCAGACGCGTTACGCTGCAGCAACAGCACCAGCAGTTGGAGGAACAGCAGCAGAAGCAAGAACAGGAGCAGCCACAAGAGCAGCAAGATGAACAGCAACAGCAGCAATCAGAGCAGCGCGAAGATGTGCAGGACAAACGTGAGACCAGGGACAAGCAGCTTGATGACGCAGCTGCTGCATCGTCAACCGAGCAGCAGAAGGTGGAACAGCAGCAGCGAGAAGAGCAGCAGCAAGACGGGGCCTCCGCTTCTGCTGCAGCAGAGTCTGCGGACGAGCCGTCAGCTCCTCCCTCTCCCCGCACGTTTACTTCCAAAGTGCAAGAGACGTTTGCTTCTGTAAAGAGGAGCATCAGCCGCGGCTACCAGAGCCTCAGTTCAATTAACGTGGGAGGCAACCGCACGGCAGCAACTGAGTCAAGAGGCGGAGATCTGTATGGGTCTGAGCCCCCTGCTTCCGAACAGTGCGTGTGCAACGTTTTAAATGATATCACTGAGCTCAGCGAGAAGGCTATGCCCTGCATTCTGGGCGACAACTCAGAAAGCGAGACAGAAGCTGCTTCACCTTTGCCGCCACCACAGATCAAGATGATTGTTAATACACCCAGCGGGCCCTATATCCGCTTCATTCCCGAAGGGCTCTTGGGGGACGCCATTAATATGGGATTTATCTCTGAAGAAGAAGTAGAGAGGCAGCGAGAGGAGTGGGCAGCCAGGTACGGCATTAGGCCGATTTCATACACGCCCGCGGCATCATTTGCGCACGAGCAGGCGAAAGCCTGAGGGGAAGCGTCGATAATTCTAGCCAAACGGAACAAACAGGGACGAAGAGCGAAAAGTACTGCACTTATTATAGTAGGATCCTACAGATCGTAAAACAAACAAAGAAGAGCGAATGTTGCGCCGTTCATGCTTTCGTGGGTCGCGGACTGGGCAGAAGCCCCGTTTGCCTTTTTCGTTTATTTTTCAATTGCTCCATTCTTCCCTTTTTTTCGCCTTTGACTTCATTTCCGCAGTCACTTCATTTACTTTCCTTCAGCACCGCTAATGTGCAGTGCGTCAAGCAGAAACGTATCTACGCACGCATATATTTACACGTAGTTCACAGCCACTTATAGGAACATGAATGCGTGTATTTTTTGTCAAGAGCTATACATTCACCACATATTCAGTAGAGCACACACATAGGAACGCAAATATAATGATTTACACATACACTTTACGCATAGTGCACATCACGTGTTTGTGCACATTGACTTGCACTTCTCTCTATAATCATTTGTGTACATGCAAATTTGTATTTACAAATACACATGAGTGCACATGAATTCACATTTATAGAAGTGAGCGCAAGAGTTCGCAGGTGCAACATTTTGAAGCGCGCAATAATTATTTACGTATTGTAGCATTTTCGCCAGGGTGCCCATTATATCAAATCCACACTAGCTTAACTAAGAAAAGGCAGATCGTTGCGGATTTAGAGTATGCCGTTGTGTTCCAAATGACTTCATTGTTTCAAAGTAAGGGGGTAACAAGGAGCCGCAACTGCCTGTTAGATCCTTGATCCAAAAGCCTCCACCCTAGCTTCAAACCGCACCTTGTAAACCCTAAACCCTTATGAGGATTCGGGAGGCACAGGGTCTGTCTTAAGGGCCCCCGTATGCCTGAGCCACCTAGCCATTCTGCCCTCTTCAAGCTTTTCTGCTGGTGCTGTGGTGGAGCCCAGCGCCCAAAAGCGACACGTGAGGAAAGAAGGAGTAATTAGTAAACGAGTCAGAGACGACATCAGCGGCAGGAACTTTACCCTGAATCAGTAACGACAAGGCATGGCAAATAATAAATAAGGTTGTTAATTGGCGCGCCCGCCACTCGCTGAAGTACCTGGACGGCGCATCTCTTAAGAGTTATTTCGTGTTTATTTTTGCTTCTGGCTCTCCTTGCTTTCTATCCACTAGTTTTCGTCCAGGTTATACTTGTTCTGCTCATTCAACACAGTGAGGCTGCTTGGGGTGCTGCCCTATTTGAACTCATGGGGGGAAAGGCAGTACTTATTAGCATTTACCTGTCGTAAATCATCGCTTTTAATTTATCTTCAAAAGTTGAAAAGCCCCAATCGCAGAAGTATAGACGCCACTGGTGCATGCTGAACAGGAACACGCAGCGACACCCATCACAACAGCAGCAGCAACAATTTAGCAGCGGCAGCAGCAACTACAACCGCAGCAGCAACCCATATAGCAGCAGAAGCAGAAGCGATTACGCCCGCAGGAGTTACAGCAGCACAAGACAGCAACAGCCAAGCGCAAGCAAGAAACAGCAACTTCAGTTGCGGTAGCAGCAGCAAGAGCGAAGCTTACCTGGGGCAGTTCACAGCATGCTCTAGCGTGCGGATATTCCCGTCAATAAAGTGAGGGACCCCATTAAGTCCCAAGGATTTATGATATTCAAATAGTTGGACCGCCCCCCTAACCATGCGCATCAGATTCCCGCTTTCGTCTATTGCAGCAGCAGCACCTGTTGTTTCTGTGCGTGATTCTGTCTCTGCTGGCTCAATCTGAGCTGTATGTACATCAGGCGGCCCCTCCCTGATGTCGTCCTCGAAGCCCATAAGGAATCCATCGGCTCCAAGTATATGGATGCGTCTTAAAGCCTCAGCAGACACGCCAAAAGAAAATAATAGATCGCGAACGTAGCGTGCCCGCTCAAGTGGAGAGAGAATGTACACTGGCCGCTGCCAACTCTGAAACGGAAAACAAATAGATAGCTGAGAAGCCTACTTCTCTGATTGCATGACAAAGAAATACAACGATAAAAACGGACGAGGGAGGCAAACAAGAACAACCAGACAAAAACAGGGAATGAGTGGAGTAGCAAAGGGTAATGAAGCTAGGCTGAGCGTCAACTACTGGTGTAGACGCATCATAAACAAAAATTTGAAAAGAAAACGAAGCGGCCCAATACACACATGCAGACACCCACCCCGCTTATTGCGTCTATGCTTTTGAGAGCGGCTGAATTGATGCCCTCAAACAGCAGCAGCCTGTCAGCCTCTTCCATTTGCTCTTCGTCTTCGGCTTTCCGTTCATTTAGATCTGCGGTGTATCCTTCCTTTTGATCCTGGCCCCGCTGCTGCTGTGCGTTGTCTATTGCATATATTTCATCCAAAGGCAAGCGGAAGCGGGCAGACGTTAGCCAAGAACCTTGAGATGATCTCCGAGCAGCAAAGAAGTGCTGAGACAGAAACAAGAAATGACATTGGAGATAAAATGCGCAAAAATTAGCTTAAAAGGAAAGGGATTAATGTTGACTAGAGTTGGATGGCTGAGGCACTGGCCTTTACAGGAGGAAACGCTGAATACGTACACCTCAAGTGCGGCTGCACACGAGCAGCAGAACAAATTAACATAAGAAAATACGAGCACAAGCAACTCATGAAGGCCTCAGGCAAAAAATAATCGATGAGAGCCATAAAAATTAAAATACGCTTTGCTTCCTGGACCCCCGCACATATGAGAAATAGAAATGCTTGCGACTTTCTCTTCCTATTCATTAAAGCCACATTCGACTAAAGTTTGAAATATTCGAATTCCAATTCAAGACTCAGTGACAACAGCGACAACAGCAACCGCGCCAAACAGAACAGCATTTCAAATACAAAATAGTAGCACCAGCATTTTCGTCTGCTTCACTTACAACAGCGCTGATGCAAAGTAGCAACAGGGATAGTACACAGACAACAAACTCAACAGCAAAATGAAAGCAGCAGCCATAACAGTAGCAATACCAACAAAGGCAGTGAGAGCACAGCCAGCAGCAGCATCCCAGCACTAGATTTTCCACCTGTGTCAGCTGTTCCTCTGTCGTTTTTAGTGTATCTTCAATGAACCTCCTAGTTTCGCTTCTGTCGGTCCAGACAGCCCATGGAAAAACAGGAAAGCCTCTTTTGAACTTGAGGCTGTCTTTGAGGGATCGCGGCTGACCACTGGTCAGCTGCAGCGCACGCTGCGCAGGGTCCATCGCTGCGGCTTTGCGGATGTACAAGGCCTCACGCGTCGCCGCGTACTGGTCCACTGTACACCCCAGCTGCTGCTCCGCTGCAGATACAGTGTACAGACACTGCAGAGCTTGGGCCACCAACCAGCCGTAAGACGGAGGGTTACAAAACTTCAGCATGTAGCCAACCCGCTCCCGAAACCAGTAGGGGGCCTGCTCAAACCTCTCCTGCTGCAGCAGCTCATGTAGATACTCCGTCGCATCCTGCTGCTGCTGTTTCTGATGTTCCTGCTGCTGCTGCTGCTGCATGCGCCTCTTTCGCACGCGCCTGCACTCGAGGAACCTCTTGGCTGCGCTCAGCGCTGTGGCTGCGGCCTCAGTGTGGGAGAGCAGCAAGGGCCCGTGAAGGGCAATGAAGTAGGCATCATCAGAAGCGCCAGACAGGGCGGGGTGCATCTGTTCCCGGTCATCGAAGAAGCTTATCGCGCCTCCAGGAGGAGCTGCTCGAGACAAACCCTGCTGCTGCTGCTGCTGCCAGTGCTGCTGCTGCTGCTGCTGTTGGACGTTGGGGCCTAGCAATGACAAGAAACTGTCGGAGCAGAGCTCGAGGTCAATCAAGGGCGCAACAGAGCTTGTTGGGGGCAACACAATATCCGGCAGACCCGCAGTGAATGGCACTGTTCCCGCTGCTGCTTGTGCTTCCGTTGCTGCTGCTTCTGCAACATTTGGCTGGGGCGGTCCAGCAGCAGCAGCTGCTGCTGCCGCTGCTGCTGCCGCCGCTGCTGCTGCTGCTGCTCTTGCAACTGCGTCACGCTGAGGCGTCTCATGGGAAGTAATGAACCGCGAAGAGGTGATCTCGTCAGTGCATCGTTGGGTAGATGCCCCGGGTGTGCGCCCACCGATCTTTCGACACTGGAGGGCTGCTGACCCTTTGTGAAGAGTTAGAAACGAAAACACCTGATGGACTTTCGCGTTTTGAATAAGGGTGGGCCCCTTGGGCTGGTTGTTCTCTAGTGTACACGCAGCGTGGAATGCAGCGGGTCGGGAGCCGATACCGGAATGGCGCAGCTGATCGACGGAAGTGGGAGAAACAGGAAGCGGAATCAGAAAAGTGTAAGTCAGAAGGAAAGAAAAAATCAATACACAAAACGGCATGGCGGTTGCGAGAGGGGAGAAGACGTGAATTGTTTGAGGATATTCAACAAATGTTCTCTTACACAGAGTCACCCTAGCCGAAATCCGGGGGTGGGGATTGCGGTTGACCGCTTATTTTTTCCATTGTACCTTGAAACAATATGGCTTTAGTATATCAAACTGCTCGTGGACATGTCTGTTTATTTGTTTGCTTCCTCCTTTTCCTGTCACGCCATAGTAGTTAGTCGGTGTCTTGCTCTCCAAGCAAGCCACTCCCGCTAGTGGGGGACAATACGGGTGAAATAGACAAAATTGCCTCGTTTATTACTGAATAATTAGTTTTGCTCTCTGCAAAGAGTAAACCTGCATATGTGCCTAGAATAAAACGATGGTGATCTGCCAGCAAGGGCTGTTCTAGTCCTACTGCATGCAATGTTGACACGGGGGCCCCTCTTTCTCGCGTCGCTCAAAGTAATGGAAAAAGCCACGTTTCATTGGCTTGTACTTCTGTTTAAGTACTCAAATGAAAGGTCAACTCGTTTGACAATAAGAATTTGTTCTCAATAGATATGCACAGGCGTGCACATGGAGGCCATCCACTGAAAACTCGCAGCATACCGCTGTTTCTTGGGCTTATTTTCATTCACTCACGAGTCGTTTCAGTTCATAGGATTCGCAACAAAGCGCCTTCCGAATGGCCCCAGATCGGAGCTTTTCATAATGTTCGTGTCCAGCTCTACAGCCGCGTTGGCTCGAGGACCCTACGCGAGGACGCTCTTTGGGCTACAGTTGTTTCTTTGGAAACAGGCAGCCCGTATTGAACTGGAATGCAAGGCGACTGTTTGTTGGAATGAGTGAGAGCGCAATACTTGGAATAGTAGACGCAACAACGCCAACGAGCTGTACTATGCTGGCTCTTAAGGCGAGGAGTAGTAGAAGGCCGCCCCCTTATGAAAGCTAGCTCCGCGGCTTTGCCCCGAGCGCCTTCATTTGTTTCTGTTTGCCTCCTTGCCCTTTTTAGCCCCTCCTGCCGTAGACGCCCCGCGCCGTCACAAACAGCTACCCTTCAGTCCTAAGTTAACAAGTAAGCGAGCTGCTCACTAGCATCAGCCGCAGTAGTGTTTGGCTGAGATGCAGGTTCAAGCTGTGATTTACCGGGTGATTAGTTTAGGGTTCTGCTTCGCGCAGCTATGTAAGTATATACAAGTGCACCAACTTCTATTGATTTTCCTCTTAAATTTCGAATTAGTCAGTAACTGATTGGGTCTGCGACCGAGCGGCGCAGCGGAGGCTGTCTTCTCTGTTTGTTTGTTGGGACGAAAACAATAAAATTCGTCCACTTATTACTAAAGTGCACCAGACAACGCACAGGCAGACTGCGGCGGTGTACGTGCACCTCCGAATGGAAACACATTAAACAACAGAAGCCACCTCAGGTGCACAGACACCTCAAAGCGACGCCCTAAGAGAACCACATATATATATTATTACATATGCATATGTTTATCTCTGTGTAAACATATGCCACTATGCCCTATACATGCGCGTCAAATGCGGGGCGGCGCCTAGGAGCGGCGCTAATGGACATGGAAAGGATAGCGAGAAGTGAAGGCAAGAGAACAAGGAGACAAGTGGATGAAAAGGAGAGAAACAGACACAAAACAAAACAAGAGACACAAACGAAACATAAATGAAGCAAGCAAACTCCAAACCAAAATAAACAGAAGATAGCAAACAGTGAATTAAAGTGAAGCAGACAATTACATATCGCAAGAAACAAGGGACAAGCATACGATTCAAACAAGCGAACGAGGCAAGAGCTGAACTGATATGAACAGCAACACTCCATATTTGCAGACAAATGCGAATTCACAATCACGCACACGCGATGTTTGCAGGTGTAAATCCACTGTACCTACAGGGTTGAGAGCATTCGGGCGATGTGTATGTTCTGTACGTTATGAACACCCCATGACAAATACGCACATATCTATGGAATACATTTTATGTTTTCGGCTTGTGACCTTAATAGTTCACAAATTTAGCTGGCTGCAGGCAAACCACGGAATGCAGCCTTGTGAGACCGCTCCTCCCGCACTTTACTTTGGGGCGTTCCTGCGCACCTCACGAGTTTAGCATTCGTGCGTTGTTCGATCTTCATCGCTCGACAAATAAAACCGATTTTAAAAAAGAAGTGTTTTTACTTCATTGTTCTTCTGCCTGCTCTCGGGAGTCAGGGCTGTCTGTACAGCTAGGCCCCGCCTCACCGAGCCGAATAACTCTCCGCATCGACTGCTGCTTCCTCTTTGCTAGCTGATCCAGCTTGTGCGACAAAAGCACGTGATCTTTGGGGCCCTGCATGCAGCGGGAAAGGAGCCGCGCCTCGCTGTCTGACCCGCTGGAGCTGTCTCTGGCTTTCTGTTTGCCTTCCTGTGTTTTCTTTTCAAATGCCGCTCCTGCTTTCTCAGAGCTGCAGGCCTCGTTCAACGCCGCGTCATTGCTGCTGCTGCGGCTGCGGCTGCTTCTGCAGCTGCTGCTGCAGCTGCTGCTGCGGCTGCTGGAGCTGCTGCGGCTGCTGCTGCGGCTACGGTTGCTGCTGCTGCTACTGCTGCTGCTGCTGCCATGGCTGCGGCTACTCGTTCCGTGTCCTCTCTTCTTGTTGGTGTTCTCAGCTTCTATCCTTCTGTGCACAAGAGACTCAACCGTCGATACACTCCGAGCTGAGGTGTCTGACAAGCTCGACAAATCCGAAGACCGAAGACAGCTGGGAGCCCATTTGCAGCTTTTCACGAAACGCAGCAGCAGCCGCAGGAAACCCGCTGGATAAAAAAACAGAAGACAACAGAACACACAGGGGCAGCAATAGAAAAAAAGGACAAGAGTCTGCCGATGACAACGAATGTTAGTGGCAACTGTCTGTGCTAGCCTTTCGCTTTTCATTGAACCGAGTCTATGGTGTGCACTAATCGCGTGTACGTACACTTCGCGAGTTCCTTCGCGTAGCGAACACGAATGGTGGCGAGTTTGTTATCAGCTTTCCTCACTTGGCGCTTTAAGGAGGCCTACAAGGAAAGAAAACGAAACAAATAACGAAAAGTAGTGGTCAACAAGAAAACAAAAAGGGAAGGCCAAAAAGAGGCAAATACAACGGGCCCAACCCCCAATCGACTGGAGCAGAGCAAAATACTTAAACAAATAACTATACTGCATTCACTTACCATCTCGTTTTTGTCCCCTGTTTGTCTTGCAACGAACCAAAGAGGCTGAAGAAACACAAGGCATACCAAATAACCCCAAGAAGAGATAAAGAAGAGAAGCAATTTTGAGCTACCCAAACGGATAACTACTTATTCAACGAAGTCCGTAGACTTTCTAGGCAGCAGCAACGTACGGCAATTCTTGACCTTGCTTGCACCACTCGTTCGTATTCTGCTGCTAAGACTTGAAGTTTAATTTTAGCCTTGTTCCTTTTGCGAAGAAGGCGACGGAGAGGGGCCCAGCTGTAGCAAAAACGCCTCCAGAGGTCCCCTATAAAGCTGGCGTCAATCAGCGCAGCCGAGCTCGCCAAGGCTAAGGCACCCAGTAAAATCAGCACTATGCTGTCCCACAGGCTAAGGCGCAGTTGGGCATCCTGGCTGTGGCTGCTGGGGTTCACGCTGCTGCTTTTGCTGCTGCTGCTCTTGCTGCTGCTGCTCTTGCTGCTCTTGCGGCCGCTGCCGTCGCCGCCGGCACTGCTGTTGCTGCTTCCTCCGCTGGTCTTAGCGCTAGTACTTTCGTTAATGCTGCCGCTTTTATTACCGGCTGTTCGATCCTCGCCGCTGTTTGTCCCCTGGGGGGTGCCATTTTTGCTGCCACTGTTCGTGACGCTTGCCCCCTCCTTGCGCTGTACATGCGCCTCGGCTGAGCTCTCCCGAGCTATCTCCCTGGGGCACACAGGCGACGCATTCTTCAGCGTTTCCAGTCTACGAGCACTTGGGCATTTGCCTGCTGCCGTGGTGTATGGAGGGCCCCCAGCTTGGCCGCTGGCGAGCACCTGAGCTTGCGATGCGTTGTCCGGGGCTCTGTCTGCTGCGATAAATCCAACAAAAACAATTAAACTGTTCGCAAGAGTTAAAAATACTAAATTTATCGACCACCCCGTGAGATGCATCGCAACGGAGTGACGACAAGCATGCGCATGCAGGATCGTGCTCGGATGCACAAACAGCTGTCAATTTGGGATCCTACACTAAACTTATTATCTCTCGACAGACTTAAAACAAACCGAAAGATCTCAAGTCGCTTGGCATCATCTTGCTTGCATCAGCGAGAGACATTTGCATCACTCAAACCTGCACGGGGCTGCTGTGTTGAAAGTAATCACTAGAAGGCGGGAGTGGGGCTTAACGGGACCCACGAAATGAAAAAAAATGGAAAAGTTAAGGTGATTATCAATAGAAATCTGAATGTTCCTTCTTTCACACCAATATCCCCTTCGATTACTTTCAGGTGCCGATGAATTCTCTGCTCCGAAACGCCGCCGCCATTGGCCGGCGCTCTTTGTGCACGGGTGTTGCCTGCTCGCGCCCTTCTAATTACAATCTAGTAAAAATGAATGGAGGGTGCAGCGTAGAAGGTGTACTTTCCACCGCCGGAGTCCAGCATACACTGCACCAGCGGCAGCAGTGGCGGCACTTTTCGTCTGCGGAGAAACAAACAGAAGGCGCACGCTCGGTTCCTGCCTTTGATATTGAGGGGAAAATTAAAGTTGAAAACCCCGTTGTTGAGCTAGACGGGGATGAAATGACCCGCATTCTGTGGGCCTGGATCAAAGAGAAGCTAATCTTGCCTTACCTGGACGTTAATTTGAAATACTTTGACCTATCGTTGCCCAACCGCGACGCCACCGATGACCAGATCACACTTGACGCTGCAGAAGCAATTAAGAAGTATAATGTAGGGATCAAATGCGCAACAATTACACCCGATGCTGCTAGGGTTAAGGAATTCGGACTAAAACAAATGTGGAAGAGCCCTAACGGGACCATCAGGTGCGCATTGCCTAATTCACATGTGAACCGAGTTGGGTGTGTTTCAGTTTATCAATTACATTTAGCTTCACCCAAGGCCTTTGTCAGGTCACCTTTATTGCCAAATCTAATTAGCTCGAAGCAAACTTAATTGACTAGGGTTTCTCGTCATCAGTTGGCGCCCTCACTATCCAAGCGGAGCTACACTGCATTGTAGGAAGTGAAAGAAAATTGGGTTGGGCCAAAATGATAATTGTGTCGCGAGTTGTGCACATAGTAGTATTTCCCTCTCGCTGGCGAGCTCATCGCTAAGCCGAACTGGGTGGCTCCTGCCTAGCGCCACAGCCGGGCAGGTGGGGGCTTTCAGGAAGCAGAAGAGTTCAAAATCAAAGCAAGCAAATAGCAGCAGCTGAGGGGCAAGTCAATGCGGGCTGCGTCTGTCTCCGCAGGAACATACTGGACGGCACAGTTTTCCGCGCGCCCATTCTGATCAGCAACGTGCCCAGGCTCGTGCCCGGCTGGCGAAAGCCAATTGTTATTGGGCGCCACGCGTATGGCGACCAGTACAAGAGCAAGGCGTTGCTGTGCGACGGCCCGGGGCTGTTCGAGATGGTCTTCACGCCTGCCGACAGCAGCAAGCCGCCCCAAAGAGAAACCGTCTTCAAGTTCGAAGGGCCAGGCCTCATGCTCTCCATGTACAACACTGTCCAAAGCATAAGGGGCTTCGCTCTCAGCTCCTTCAACTTCGCTCTGTCCCAGGCAAGTCCAGGAGCCCTTATGGCTAAGTCTTAAACTATGAGACCTGGAGCCGTATCCCAACACGCAACATGGGATTTCAAACGAGACGTGCAGATAAAAAAGCCCAACCTCTTAACGCCCGCTATTCTTTGCTGGCCCAACGCTCTTGTACATGCGCGTTAAGCCCTTCTCCACAAAACTTATGTCCGCGTTTATGAAATTTAAACCCTTCTTCACTGACTTCACATCCTCCTCCATTCTCATATGCCATTTTGTAGCAGTATACTTGTGATGTGCTACCGCGCCGAACCTGAAAACGAGTGGACTGGTTGGTGAATGTTTTGACGAAAGTACTAATTTAGTACATAAATAAGCGTCAATAAATGAACGGACAGACAAATACGCAATAGATTGGCAGGCTGTGCGTGTGCTTGTGTGAGCTGTTTTCCAAGTGCAATTTGGTGCGTTTCATTTTATTTTGATTTGTTCGGCTGTGCAGAAAATGCCGCTCTACTTAAGCACGAAGAACACTATCCTGAAGGAGTACGACGGGGTGTTCAAGGATATCTTTGAGGAGATCTACTTGACTCAGTTTAAATCCAAGTTTGAACAAAACAACATTTTCTATGAGCATCGCCTTATTGACGACATGGTCGCCCAGGCCCTGAAGTCCGAGGGAGGCTTCGTCTGGGCGTGCAAGAACTATGACGGGGACGTTCAATCAGACATTGTGGCTCAAGTGGGCGTTCAAATTAGCTCTGTATTGACGTGTAGTCTAGCTAGTCAAAGAGTCATCTTGCCGTGACTATTTGGAAGGCAAATTGCCGCTTTCTTATCGGCTGTCGGTGTTGATGTTTAGCCAGTTGGGGCTCAAGTGAACATGAACAGCGGGTTTTGCCAGTTGATTGATTTCACAGATTGTCGGCACATAAGTAAACCCATTCATAGCTCCCCATTCATCGCTCGCGACTGCCAGTCGGCTCGCCAGTTCGTCATGCACTGGAGCTAGCAGTTTCGCGAAATAGGGAGCTTTGGAAAGGTAGTACTTCGTGAGTATACGCAGTGGGGCTCTGTGTGCATGGTGTACTACTCGCCCAGACAGTGGCCTACGCTTAAGTTGTCGTCGAGCTAGTGAATGGGAAAACAGTTATTTTGCCTCAGGGCTATGGATCATTGGGCTTGATGACCTCTGTCCTGGTTTGCCCCGACGGCAAGACAGAAGTGAGCGAGGCGGCCCACGGGACCGTCACACGGCACTACAGGCAGCACCAGCAGGGACAGAAGACGTCTACAAACCCCATAGCTTCCATTTTCGCGTGGAGCCGAGGCCTCACGCACAGGTCAGAGCTTGCTGGGTCCCCAGGGGTCGGAGCTATTCGCGGCTGCTGAAGCGCGGCGCCACTGTGCAGCCTAGCTCTCTTGCTGTATTTCATTTCGAAAAGGCGGCGGAGCGGTGGCTCTGCGGAGGCCCTGTGCTTGCCTTGTTACCAGTGAAGATAAACGTATGTCGTTGCTCAGCTGGCAGGCAGTCAGAGCTCAACGTTTTCATACATTTCTGCCATTCGCTCAGGGCCAAACTAGACAAGAACTCGCGCCTGCAGCAGTTTTGTCTCGCCCTCGAACGCGCATGCGTACAGACCGTCGAGGCGGGGCTCATGCCGAAGGATTTGGCTATTTGCGTCAAGGGAGCTGAAAATGTGAAGGTAAATATGTTATATTGGTTCGAAGAAAGGAGAGCGAATTCGCCGTTTCAGTGGTGATCTGTCGCTTATTTAGCTAGTCGGCCAGTCAAAGCTCCCCTCCATTTACCAATCGCGTGCTAGGCACTGGTGTGAAGGGTGCAGTGGGCGTGAAGGTGATTTTGTACTGTTGGTCAACTGAGCAGTCAATAATCGGTGAAGTACTGTTTTAAATTGTCTGGCATGTACTAAATAATTAACATTGGAACGCGGAAACTGGAAAGCAGTTCCCCCCGCCAATAAGGACAGCTGCTCCGCAAAAGGCGAGCATCAACTAAGCGAACTCGAATTGACAAGCAGCTCTTGACTTATTAGTTCGTCAGCGTTCGTGTAACATCCTAATGTGCATTTTAGGTACTTAATTTGCTTTTATGGTGTTCGCCTGGAGATCGTCTGGCCTTAAACCGAGTTAACGAATAGCAGAAGTGAAATGAAGAGCAAGTTGACTGATCAGTGAATTTGCTGAACAATTAAATGCTTGTTTGTTGCAGCCGAGCGACTACTTGATAACTGAGGACTTCATCGACGCAATTGCGGATACGCTCAAAATGAACTTAATTACACACCAGCTGCCCGTACGCCACAGCAACAACAAGCACAAGCTCAGCAATCCGAACTGGGATCACTATGCGCCTTCTGAGCACAACTCAGAGGTTGTAAGTTCAGGAGTATGCCGTACTGCTAACTAAACAATGAAAATTGTTTTGTCAGTTCTCTCACCTGTTTGCAACTAGGATAAATTAATTAGAACGTATTTTGTGCCTCCCACTTTGCTGTTTTTGAAGGCAAATGCCTTCGTTGGAATTAATGAATAAACAAGCAAATTAGTGTTTCTCAACAAGCTCTTCCAGTGAATTGTGGCCATGCATTGCGTTTCTCCTGCCTCACGATTGTGGCTAGTGTTGTGAAAATCCGCGCTCTGTTTGGTTTAAATTAAGCATTCTGTTTTGTTTGATTGCTTTCCTTTCAAAATGATTCAGTTGCTTCATTTGTTTGTTTGCTCGAGTGTACGTGCGTCTGTGCAGGACGACCACGACGGCCACACTAAGTAAAGAGGAAAACTAGTGTCTCCAAACATACTTAAGGTATAAATTAGTGGCAAAGCAAACGAATTGAACACCAAAGGAACTGGTGGAGATTCTTCTGTTAAATTATGGCGTATTTTTTTAATTTGAATTCAAGTATTCACTTTTTTAGGGTGCGTGCCTCTGGCAAGACATTGAATCACGTTGCGCTACGTAGCTAGCACTCTCGCCCTACTTCATTATAGAGTGCTCGTTCCGACCATACTGGACAGTACTAGCAATTTAAATATGAACAAAATTCAGATAAATATGTAGCCACCCAGAGGGACGTTTACAAAGCTTTGAATGCTATCAACCCACAAAGAGTTGGACTTAGAGAGTTGGTCTTTGATTTGCAGTGCCCAGCAGCTGCACCTGTCACTACATCTCAAGTAAGCGAGCAAACAGGTATACGTTGATTAGTATACGGGAGGCTTTTGTTTGTGAAGGTCGGCAGTGGCTGTGTGTGTGTGTATCATGGGATGATGGAGACCGAGAGCCTGCTTAGCAACAAGTATAATTGGGTAGCTTCGGCTGTAAAGTTAGCTTCCGTCTTTTTTTATTTGCTGATTTTCCAACTTACCTCTAGGTGCATGGCTTTCCTTCCTTCAGCTGATACATTCAGTTACGCATTTACTTTTCACTCGAGAGCTCCAGCGTTTTGTAATTGATACTTGTGGCAATCCATTTGGCAATTCTTGTGTTCATTATATGAAGTAGATAAAGTACACCGTTTTTATTCGGTTGTACTACTCATTAGTGCGTTCCTATGCATTTGCTTTCCTGTCCGTAAGACCGCCAACCTGAGCCAGAGACATGGCCAAAAATGCAAGAAAAAGGAATTAATGAAGAAAATGCGAAACGTCAAGTAACTGAAGGACGCACTGGACGACTGCACAAACAGACACTTATGATGGACAAACGAGATTCACGGCTTTGTCACCATGACTAGTACTATTTTCGCTTTGGTGCAGTTATTCTACTTACATTTGCTTATCATTAGTACTTCCATAGTTGTCTACAACATTTAGTGTGCACTACAGGTTCGGCAACATAAGAAACACTACGTAGGCGTATACACATAGTGCTTGTAGGACATACTTCCTAATTATTTTACCGGTGGGTCCACGCCATCGTATTCACATATTAAATCATGAGTAAACATGTAAGTAGATGTTAGCTCACGTTATGTATGCTGCTCTTTTCACAGCCAAGCTACCACCGCTATTCACGTCGTCAGAATTGCAATACCTTTATTTAGAACAATTTACTACCGGAGTTATTGTTGGTAGTTTAGCAACAAGCATTGCATTTCTGTTACTATTATTCTCTCATATCATCACTATTCTTATATGCACTAGCAATATTACTGTTACGTACGTCATTATGAGCATTTTTGTTTTTACCGTTACTCACACATATACTCAGTGGTGGGCATTCTTGGGATTTAACATGTGTAAAATACGCCGTCCTCGGGACTCTGTGCCTGGTGTTGCTGCTGCTGTTGGTGCTGTTGCCGCTGTGGGTGCTTGTGGTGATGTTACTGCTGTAGGCGCCGCTGCTGCTGGTGCCGCTGCTGCGGTTGGTGCCGCTGCTGCAGCACATATTCCATTGAATAAAACAATGAGTTGGATACTTGAATTAGCTATTCGGCTTGTAACTGCGAAACGGAAAACATGTAAATGAAGAAAATGATTCCTGCGTGCATCTGCCTACACCCGTTCCAGCTTCAAAACTTTATGAATGCCCCATGGATGAGGGTTTTCGTAGTACGAGTTCCTTCCGTTGACCCGTTAGATGTTTACTGTGTGCCTATTACTAGACATAGGGTCTGTAGCTGCAACATTCTTCGGCACAAAAGACCAACAAGAGCTAAGTCGCTGTACATCTGTAACCCTTTTCATGCACTCCAAAAATTCTGTTCCTCAGTGAGTTGCTGCACTGCAATCTGTCTATATTCATTGCTCCTAGCACTCTGTATAGACACTGCTGCTGCTTCCGATGAATCCACCGTCCTCCGCTTCTATACTCATTGCTCATTTCTTAGTACTCTGGATAGACACTGGTGCTGCTTCCGTTGCATCCACCGGCCTCCGCTGCCTGTGCCGCTGGGAACTTCATCTGTTCATTTCACTAGGCTGTCGTATTTCGCTCTTCGTTTGTGTTCAGAGCACTTTGTTTCTAATCGCCTTTTTTTTGCTCCCGCCTCTGCCTGTTTCGCCCGTTTGCCGCTGCGCGCTCTCCGATTCACCCCGTAGCTCGCTCGACCAGCCGGTAGTTACCTCCTTACTTATCACGTGCTAACTTACTTCCACACGTAGCGCGTAACCAGTCAAGAGAAAGCAGCATTACCAAAGCATCTAGGTCTGCAACTCTAGACCGCAGTCTGTGCGATGTGTTACCTCAGCCTCAATATATCAAATTTAAATGTCAAACTCGAACTCATTCCGCAGAAGACGCACTAAACTATGGATTGTTTATCTCCCATACAACTGGAACGAAGTAACTTGACGTAACTCCTAAATGGCTAGGCATCTTGCAAACAAACTTACGGTGTAACCTATACAGAAACAAACAAGATGCTTGATTTTGTGTTGTGTGTGGATCCAGTCCTCTTGGAGGGGCTTGGCACGCATACATAATAGCACTGCTTCCATTTACGTAAATTGTCCCGCGTATTGAGCTGTGGGGCAAAACATCACTGCGATTTCATGAAAAAAACTGAAAGATCAATATTTACTATTCAGTGTGCCTAAGACGCAGGAGAAACAAAACGTGTATTTACTTATTATTACGGCTTCGCAATAATCCTTTGATTCGTCCACCTCCATTTCTGATTCGTCACTTGTCCATTCACTGTGTTTTCCAAGACTTCCACCACCAATGCAAGTACCAACAATCCACTCTGCATCTGTTGCAATTCAACTATTTTATACAGTTTACTCGTGTGCCTGTATATCGTTTATTTGTCATATTCACGAGTCAACAACAACCTCCCTCTTGTCCTGTTTATTTTCCTTTTTGTGTTTCCCCCTCTTTTGACTTTCACTTTCCCCGGGCGCCCTAAGGTTGTCAGTGCCGCTGCTTTCATTACTGTTTGTGTTAGTGCTCGTGGTGTTAATGTTGTTGTTGCTTCGGTTCAAGCCGTGGCTAGGGCCAGCATTACTTTTCTTATCGTTCGCAAATGAACGTGCCCGTAGGACTTCGTCCGGAGGAGGCCGCTCGCAACGGCTAATGCCCCAAATCTTCTCCGCGTATTCGCGCATGCATCTGTCAGTGCTGAACTTGCCCATGGATGCCGCCGCCTGAAAATCACAAAGCGAATAAAACAAACCATTCAAATAGCAATCGAGGGCGGACCGCCTTTCCAAGGCTGCCAGTGTGCCTCCACATCCACTGCTTTCTCTGCCTGCCGTCACGTCTTCGGGTTTCGAGTTTGCGTCCCATCAGCCCGTCCCAACGCATTCCTCGAATTAGTGTAGACTGCGTGGCATCGCATGCTGCTCGGAAGAATCCGAAGCAGCAACGGCAGCAAAAGCAGCAGCTCGCACCTTAATAGATAGGCGCCACCATTTGTCTGGGTTCCTGTACGTCCTATCGACCTCGTCTTGAGCTCTGCAGTAATCTGGGAAGTCATGTATAAGAAGGTAATAATCCCCGTTGTTTCCATTTCCGTTGTTGCAAATCGTGTCCAAAATCGCACAGAAATCTCCATGAGACTTGTCGTCGCCGCAAGCCAGAGCCCCAGAACGAATCCAGTCAAACACCTCGCGCATGCGGTGATCCATGGGATAGGAGCCGTTGCGTGCCTGAGTGAAGCCAAAAAGTGGAAGTGTTTGCCTTGTGCCAACATCTGAGTTTCTCTATAAACTGAAGTGACCAGCTAAATTCGCTTGACCAGGCGACACTCTCAGCCCCGTTTCACGCATGTATGCACGCGATGCTGTGACTGCTGGCATGAATGATTTACCGCCCACTATTTACTGCCCACTTTAACTACGGTTTACCTGGCTTCTCATCTACTTTTAGTGCTCGCTTCACCCCTCTACTTCGCTCATTTCACTTTTCCAGAGGAACAGCACAGCACTACAACTAGAATGTTTAGGGAACCTCCATTCCCATAACTTCCCACTCATCTCCAACTATGGAAACGCTACGCTAGTGTGCGCCGCGTGAATAGTCTCACCCGCTCCCTGATATGGTCAACTTCATGTTCTTTGGCCCCGAATATGAACATGGTTTCATCGCCGCCCTCTTCTCTGATCTCGATATTGGCTCCGTCTAGCGTGCCGATAATTAGGCCTCCGTTCATCACGAATTTTATGTTTGAAGTGCCTGAGGCTTCGGTGCCTGCTGTGGATATGTGCTGCGATATATCGCTAGCCGGAATTATAACTTGCGCGTTCGAGACGTTGTAGTTGGGCAGGAACACAACCTGTACACCAAACCAAGCTTCCGTCCAACACTTAGTGTGCCTCTTTGCTGATGTGCGCAAAATATGGCTCACCAAACTAATGTGTATGGAACAGTAATTTCATACGCAGACACATTTGTACCAGCTCACAAGTACCTCGCACGCCTCTACACGGTAAATTGGATACTTCACACAAATGAAAGCAACGGCATAAAAGACGGCCACTGAACGAACAGACAAGCTTGTAAAATTCCGCCTAGCCGCCAATGCCTTTCAGCACCCATCCACCAGTCCGCTATGAGAGGCGCCCGACCAGCTGATATGGAGAAAGAGCGCGAATAAAATTCAAGGTCAAAGAAACGAGTACACAGAGAAGTACCCAATGTGCCTTCACCTCCAGAGCAGCAACACCGCCTCTGAAGAGGCCGACAATGCCTTGGATGACTTGAGTAGCCTGCTTACCTTGAGGTACTTGTCGACATCTGGGTCGTTGTTGACAATCTGCGCGACGCTGTTTGCCATTTTGATGATGGTCTTTGCAGTGTAGTAACCCGGCGCCGCTTTGCCCCCAATGAGGCACGCTCTAGGGAGCATGTTGCTCCTGTCCGCTGGTTGCATACGTTTCAGGGTGAGATATCTGTGGATAATGTAGATGATGTTGAGCAGCTGGCGTTTGTACTCGTGGATTCTCTTGACTTGTATGTCGAACAACATGGTGTCCACATCAAGCTTCACGTTGCAGCGCTGCTCGACCCACAGCGCAAGCCTCTTCTTGTTCTCCTTCTTCACCGCTGCCCACTCTGCCCTGAACGAGGGGTTATCTATGTGGTTCATCAGACCTGCAATCATGTCCAGCTCCTTCAGCCAAGAGTCCGATCCCAGCCAGTTGCTGAAAAGATCCGCCAAGCCCCTGTTCGAGCAATAGATCCAGCGGCGCGGGGTGACACCATTGGTCACGTTCAGGAACTTATCATTAACTCCTTGGCGAGAGTAGAACTCGACGAATTCTGGGAACAAGTTCTTTTTCACAAGCTCGCTGTGGATTGCTGCTACACCATTTACGTGTCGGCCACCTATCACTGCCAAGTTCGCCATCCTTATACGCTTCTCGTTGCCTTCTTCGTAAATCGACATGCGGCCAATCTTGTTCCAGTCGTCTCCAAAGATGGACCGTGCCTCGTTCAAGAAACGGAAGTTTATCTCGTTTATAATCAACAAGTGCCTGGAACAAGCACCCACGCACGAGCACGTAAAAGCGTGCAGACCTCACGCAGCCAAACTGTTGCTGATGCGGGCTGCTGCTGCTGCTGTGGCTCCGCTAGGTTGTGCTTTTGAGAGGATACATGGCACACATATAGGTGGCCATTCCATGTGCAAGCGCCCACACACACGCACGCGCATGCGCATCAATTTGCATACAGGCATTAATACATGCGATGCACGCAAGCATTTCTGCACATGCAGAAACATAGAGCTCTATACGTTCCATACAGAAATGTAGTCGCACTAACGCCCGCCAAGCACTCTACTGCTCCCTTTCCTCATCTCCTTCCAAAGCCCGGCCACGTAAAGCCAGCTGAACGCGAATACTAGACAGAACGGAGCTGAGGAAAGAAAATCAAGGTTTACCTGGGCAAGAGTCTTGAAATGAGATCCGCAGACCACTTCTCAAGAGCTTCAGGCAACACAGTGTGGTTCGTATAGTTGAAACAGCGCCTTGTCAAGTCCCAGGCGGTGTCCCAGTCCAGGCCCTCTACGTCCAACAGGATCCGCATCAACTCCGGGATGGCTATGGTTGGGTGTGTGTCGTTCAGCTGGCACTGAATCTTGTCCGGCAGTTCCTTCCAGTCGCGACCAGGCACTTTCTTGAAGCGACGAAGCACATCTTGGATTGTGGCGCAGCAGAAGAAGTACTGCTGCTTCAGCCGTAGCTCCTTTCCTTCCATGGTGTTGTCGTTCGGGTACAGCACCGCCGAAATCGACTCCGCATTCTGCCGTTCTCGCACAGATTCCAGGTAACGCCCGACGTCAAACAAGTGGAAGTCGAACTCCTTAGACGGGCAGGCCTTCCACAGCCGTAGGTTGATCGTATTGTACGTGTCGAATCCCGGAATAGGCGTATCGTAGGCCATAGCCTGCACTATCTCGCCCCCAACCCATTTGCTGCGCATGCGTCCGCTCTGAGGGTCCCTATACTCCTTAACGCTGCCGTAAATGCGGACGGCGTACGTGCAATCTGGCCGCTCGATCTCCCATGGGTTCGACAGAGTCAACCAGTAATCAGGGTACTCCACCTGTCGTCCATTCACTATCTTCTGCTCAAATATGCCGTACGTGTAACGAATGCCGTAACCCCAGCAAGGCAAGTTCAGAGTAGCCATCGAGTCTAGGAAACAAGCAGCCAAACGACCTGCAGACGGACAAAAGAAACAAACAAACGGTGAGTGAGCAGGTGGCCTAAGGCCACCAAAGACCACTAAAAGAATGCGTTCTCAGCTCCAGGTACACCCTAAATACAGGAATGTGTTCTCAACTCCAGGTACACCCTAAATAGAGGCAGCGTTGAAGCATACGCACCGAGACCGCCATTGCCTAGAGCCGGGTCGTGTTCGAACTCGTAGAGCTGCTCCAAACTGAAACCCAAATCTGCAAGGGCCGTGCGGTAGTTTTTCTCAATGTCCAAATTAACCAACGCATTTTGGAAAGCTGTACAGAACAGAGCAGATAAAGAAGACTGCCTGTCCCACTACTGGCCAGCGCATTTCGAAAAGCCGTACGGAACAGAGCGGATAGAAAAAGAAGACCACCGTGCCCACTAGGGACCACATGTGAGCAGAGGCCGCAGACAAACACTGCATGTGAGCATGCAGCCCGGCCATTCCAGACAGAGATTCGGATCCTCGTCGCACAACGGTGTTGGGTATCTCGTGCAGACAACTGGGTAGCCTGAACCTGAACGGGAGAGTCAGCGGTAAATTCGGAATGTGTCAGGCCTCACCGCGACCTAGGAGGAACTCAAGGGAAAGGTAGTAGGCCCGCTTTACGTCCTTCTCATGGAAGAAGGCATTGGTGTCATTGAGGGTCTCAATCAAACGGTCGCGAACAGAGAAAGCAGCTGCTCGGTAACACGACTCCGGGTCGAGGTTGAAGCGGGTCTTAGCTAGGGTGTACTCCTACGGAAATATAGCAAAATTGCTGCACAAGCGGTCTTGCTCAGCCAAAACTGCATCATTTGCTGTGTGCAGTATGATAAAATTCGCTGCAAAGAGAGGAGTCCCATGCACACCTGGACTGAATTAGAAAGCGACGCGACCTACCACGTGGTTGACTATGCTTCTCTGGATGGAATGTACATCAGAAGGAAGATAGGTTTCCATCAGCTTCCACAGTTTCTCCTTTTTATCGTCCGCATGCGGGTCTTCTACGACGTTGTACATTCCTGGTATCGTCCTGGGCACGGCACCAGTTAGTTTAGAAAAGGAAGCCTTGCGCTTCATTTCCCAGTGCTGGTTGGTGTCCCTGGTAAACACATCCTCAACTCCGGTCGCCATTTTCACAAAGTAGGTTAGGAAGCGCAAATACGAGAAGAGAAGAAAGAAGGCGAGGAAGTAAGTGGAACGAGACCTTCGCAGCCGAACGGCTCCCTCCTCCAGGCGAGGAAGCAACGACACACTGACCCAGCTTAGCAACGGCCGAGGAAGGGCCTTATAGCGCAATGAAGTAAAGAAATATAGAAGAAACCCGTGAGAACTTGTATGGCGCTAAGTCGCCACCAGAACCAGCTGAACGCAGCCACTTCTAGGGTGTGCTGCCGTTCACGTGTGCGTGCACCATACCATCGCCAGGCTGAGGCGGCTGCGGAGAAGTTCACGGCGCTGGGTTCCACACAGTCCTGCACCAGACTTCAACGAAGGATAGATGGCATTTGTCTTGCTCCGTGAATTCGTGTTAATGTATTCTTACATTGCCTTCTATGTGTAGCATAACTTGGCGGCACGCACACACCCTTCAAGTCAGCTGCTGCGGCCACCCAACGCACAGCCGACAACGCAAACCCACGAACACTAAACATACTTTTTGAGAAATGTACTATATGCCAGGAGCGTTTCCTTTGTTTCTGAAGCAGCGTCTCGTGCCTAGCAGTTTCGCGTAGAGTTGCCGGCAGCCGAGGCTTTAGCAACAACAGCAGTGTAGCTATGACTGCGCAGTTGCCGTGTAAGCTTCTGTAGAAACAGTGCAGCTCGGCAGTCTATATCGGTTGCTACCCATGCATGCCCTGTGCGCTTCCTTCGACTGTTGCAGTGGCAGCGGCTCTTTTCACCACTGACATATCATACGCGAGCACTAGAGCACATACCTGGTGATATCGATGTGATGGTAGTTAGGGTACGCATAAAGGCGAACTTCTGGCAATCCTTAACCTGAGTGGAAGCCTGTTCCGCGTTCAAACTGCCGTGAATCCATCTCTGCAGTGCGACTTCTGTACCAGTAAACTCTCCTAAGCATACTTTTAAAATCAGTAGCGCGTAATCAGGCCATGTTTGAACAGATTGGCCCTAGGAAAAAGTAGCATAGTCAGTAGAGACAACGGCCTAATGCGCCGAAGCTTGGAAAACGTGGGGCTGAGCAGGTGTGACTCGCGAAAACATGTTTTGGCAGAAATGGTGACAGGCAGAGCAGATCAGATGTTAGTGTCATAGGTGTACCACTATAGAAGTGCACGCTGGCCGGACGAGACAGAGGAAATGGAATACGTAGGGAGCCCGCTGCTCCCTTGAGCAGCCATCTTAGCGACAATCATTACGAAGTGCCATCAGGTACTGTTCGTGCAAAGTGTTTCCGTATTGTTCGTGCTCAGAGGGATACCCATGGGTCGCAACTGCTTGCACGATAGCATTTATGGGGGGAAATGCTTTCAGCCTCCAGCAATAAATGCCTGTTGATGCGCCGAACATTCCAAAAGAAACAATTGTGCAGCTTCGTTACGCTTTGCTACTCTCAGTCCCAGTTGTTCGTCCTTGTAGACTGAATATCAGCGTTAGCAACCAGCCTCGCGATCGGCTACCGTGCTTATATATGTCATATGTTTGCTAATGAAACTAAATTGTGACCCACGAGTGGAGAAAAACATGGGAACTCATGAGCTATTCTTTAAGGGAGAGCCAGCAAAAGAGGACAAGGCGCTAACTGGGACGCAGAAACTCACGGTGCTGACAGCATTGCCCCCAAACTGCCTTCACTGGATGATCAGTTCAAAGCAGAATTCACAAGACGAGAACAATCACATAACGTCTTGTAGATGTATGACACTATGAGTTTCTGGAGAGAAATCGCGCACCCAAGAAATGCTGGTTGCTAATGATTGTTCAAGGGGCACTGGAAGCATTTTCTTTTTCCTATCTTATGCCTGTGGTACCGGATCAGCGTACTTTTACTTTCCACGCGGGCAAAGTGCGGGGTAAGTCAGTCTTTTGTGGCTGGCCTTGAGTGCCGTATCCCGCGTTAGGTAAGTCCAAAACACGCTATGCAATTTAATTCATGGATTTTATACTACCGAAGATACCATGCTTGTAAAAATGATTCCTAAGACACCCGGCCGTGTCCAACTGCATTGCCCTCACAAGAACTAACGTGCCTACAGGCCTCACGATTGTCTAAAGCTCGTTTACCTTTCGCTGTGCTAACGAACAAAAGCACTTGGTTTGAATGCACTAGCGTTCTTGATGCGCACAGCAGGAACAACCTCTGCCTAGTAGTTATGTCAAGCCAAAGCTCCTCCAAATAATGCTGCTCTATCATGGCGAAAAGTCCGTAGGCACATTCAAAGGAAAGATGGTTGCTGACACTTTAGTGGGGAGAGTACGCGGCAGTCCCACTGTATACTCAAGCAAAGTCGAACAGCCCGCTTTCCAGAGAACCCATGTAAGGCTATGGCAGCTAACTTCTTTGCGAGTGCTGGGGTAACCCATGGAATTTTCGTTTTTGCATAAATTCTTCAACCCTGCATTCAGTCACTATGGCCGAATGGCCGGTAGAACCTGTACAGGAGCGTTTCGTGTCCAGGTACCTATTTAATATGTACACGCACAGGCAGGTCATGAGACCCTGCGTTTTAAAGCACACAGAAAACCTGCCAGTGCAAACAAGTACGCCAGTGCAACCTCCGTTCGTGTTTTGTCAAGCGGCCTTGATGACTCTTCTGGTTACTACCAGCACTGTACGCATGGCTTCGACTCGCTTGCTGCGTCTCAAGGACAGAACTCAGAAAATGTATATTTCGGGCAGAGCCTCTGTATCTTGGCGACTAGCGTCGCGTGAGTCCCTCCCAATATACATGCTTTAAGTTCAACAAACAGGCAAGCGAATTGGAAGATCAACACCTACTTCATTGCTGGCCTCGGATTGGTCAACCCTGGCCAGGCGCAGCGCTTCATTCTGTTATCCCACATCGTTGCCAAACCACTATTGCAGCCACGATTTTAGGCATATCAGCACCTGTCTTTTTCAGTATGAATACTTTGCAGCCTCGTTGATCACTTTTCCGTTTATCTCAATTGATTTTGCGTTGCATGCAGACTAGCACTAAGAGGCTTCGAAGAAGGAGCGTCATATTCCTCATTTCTTCAGAACAGAATCTCGCGTGAGATCGCACCACGCGGCGGATAGGCAAGAGCTAGCTCCTTAACAGATTGGCGGAAAAGGGCATCGGCAAGAGCAGTGCATCTCGCGGCACAATTTTGCAAGCCAAGCCTCAAAGTTCGTCCAGACGCAGTTTCCCTTGACCTATCTATGTGGGTTTATTGGCATTAGTTTATAGGCACGGTAGCGGCCCCTACACACCAACGTAAACGAGCCGTGGATATAAACACGGAAAATTTTAAACGCCCTCACAACAGCAAGACTCTACGCTCAGCGGCACATCACCTGCGGTGTTTCGTACAGTGCACACGACCAGCAAAGCTTGTAGGCGCTTTTCGTACGGGACCCACGTTGTTGCAGGAAAGCGCCATGTCCTATGATATTTCATGCCCGTGGATAACTCTGCTGGATCCGACTACGAAAGGCAGTCAAATGAGCCATACAGCGCGCAAAAGCGCTTTCTGTGGCCTCGAAAGGCCACGCAAAAGTGGCGGCTTCCCGCATTTATTGTTGCAGCAGCCCCGCTAGTTCAGCAAATTGCGGATAAAATGCAGTAGTTGATGTCAATTACCCGAAAGAAAGCATCGGACACCCCTGCTGTGCTTTACACGGGAAAAAGACAAGAGGGCAGCCCTTGCTGCGTAAGGGCAGATTCCTTCCACCCATAGTACGGATCTAAAATAGTTGGTTTCCTTCGAGCACAAGGCATAATTAAACGGCTGCGTGTGCGTAGCGCATGGTTAGCGTTACCAAGTGAGCGACGTGCTCCTAGAATGCGAAACAGAAGGCGACTATCTCGCCCATGTGTACAGTCGCATACACCTAGAAACATGCCAGCAGTTTGACCGTCATGCTGCTGAGCACTGGATTCAAGTGCACGCTGGGCGGGCCCAAACTGACACTTTCATATCAAAGCACGATTTTCAAGTGGCATGAAAGCTGATATTGGCCAGTTCGGTAAACTAAGGCTCTACTCCCAGGGACTGGTCAGGAATAGTCTTCTAATTTCTATTCAGGAAAGCGGCCTTTTTTCTTCCACTTCATGAGGGATCAACCCAAGCGCATGCAGCGCACATTGACCACTATCAACTTTCAGCCCGGGCGAAAAACCTGCTTTGATGGTTTAACCCTCCCAGCAAGCACTCGGATGCTGCTCGCCACATCAGATAAGGCAAGCACGCTCCCACCACACTAAAATAAACGTCTTCATCTGAGGATTTGACGCAGTGGTATAGTAGTTCTGCAGAACAACGTAGCAGAGCAAACTACGAAGGAAAGCATTCAAGGTTTTCTTAAAGCCTCGTATCAAGCTGCCAGATTTGTCACAGCCAAATTAACACCCAACGAACTTGGGATGTTCTTGGTGATATCTGCTTTCGCTAAGTGAACATGCTGTCGACTGTTTCCCAAACCCATCAAATGAGGCGGAGAAATAGAATTTAGGAGAGCTTCGCGAACCAGAGGAGGAGTTCGGGAATAAACTGAATAGTGATTGGAGCACGAGGAGCAGGATGAAATAGGTCAGTGGTGGAGCATCGAACAAAGGGCCCACCGTTTAGCCCTTTTAAGTGCCGTTTACCCTGTGAGCCTCGAGACCGCAGCTCACTGCCTGTACCTCCTGATTTTGCGAGAGCTTTCAAGCATATAACACATTGGTTAAACATTGTATTGCAGTCTAAAACGGACATAAGCAAAAGCGCCAAGTGGAGTAGCAACCGGCGTTCGACGGCCATGGACGGCCCAGTGATCTAGTGACGCCGTTGGCAGTTCAGCTACGCAGTTCCCAAGGGACTGCGCAGCCTTTCGAGTGTTCGAAGGGCTAGAAGCGTCTTCGGACACGTTAAACAATCTGGTTGTGCGTCATATGCACGGTTCAGTGTTTCCTGAACCCCTTCCAGTTGAAACTGCAGGA